CGTAATAATTTATGTACGAAAGTGCGTTCTTCAGGCCATATCGGTTCATCGATCCATTAAAGAAATATTAGATATCCAACTAAGCCTACTCAATATTGTTGGAATTGGAACATAATAATTATATTGCCTATATCTTTGATTTTTTTTCTCAATGTAGGCCTAAGAATGAGAAAAATTACCAGACCTTTTCCAAGAGGGGAAAACCTTGAAATTTGAAGAACTTATTAAAGGTCATTAAAAGACACCTGACGCCGAGAAAGCTCATTTCCGGCCAACTAGGAATCAAAATTTTCCCAAGGATGACCCCCGACCCCCTTTTAATTTTGGAATTTTTAAAAACATTTTGAACCCCATTCTTTTAAATCCTGGATCCGACCTTGTATGTTTAATAAATTTAAATTAAATTTAAATAGTTCCTTTGCTACTTTTTTTTTTTTTGTGAAATGAAACATGTACACTTTATCCCCATCCACCCCATCTACTCCCATATTTTAGTACTTTTGTTTATGCGATAGAAGTGGCCACATTTCACCTTTTGATGGTATCACCAGGCCATTTCAAAAGTTAGAAATAAAAGTTTAATCCATTTCCTAGCAACATATGGATAACACAAACTGTTTACATGAAGTAAAGCAATTTAAGGCGATTTGTAGCGAAAAACCATTGATTTTGTAAGAAACTCATGCTTTGAGATTCATGTCCTTGACTCTTTAAGTTCATGGTGGAATTTTTTTTTGCCATAACATAATGTTTTCTTTTCTTACTTTAACTCGAGAGTTATACAGTACTACAAATCACAAAAGTGCACATTGCAACCCGGGAAGGTATTAGCCCTAATCTTCTTGTAGATGATAATACCATTATCTATTATTATTTCAAAATGTGAACAAGTATAAAGTATAGTATCCAACTGATGTCATGATTAACAAACAGTAATTAAATTAAAGACTCTATAAAAATTAGGCTCCCAGCGGGAGTAGGTGTGTACTGCTTGAAATAGGTTTTTTGGCTACTTTTAACTCATAACTCATCCATGCTTTCTGTGTTGGCAATTGATATGAACAACTGTACAAGTGACCACTAGTTGACTTTTTAGTTCTTTCTAGGACAGATCTAGGCATGGCATCGTATTTCTTTAGCTTCAATGCCTCTCATCACTCCTTTGACCAAAATATTGTAACTAATACCATTTAGGTATGTCAAATCCATTAACAATTTAAAACATTAAACTGCAGCATACCATCAAGAAAATAATAGAATCACCCATCATATTTAGGTACAATATTTTTGAGTGCTGCCTGAAAACAAGAAGCAATTCCATTATTTTCTTTTATGCTCAAGGTTGATTTAATTGAATTTCTGTGCCCTTGTCCTTTGACCTTTTCTTACGAATATTGAATGGTGTCTTCTTCGATTATTATGTACCATTCCACTAAGTTTTATAATGATCCACTAGGTCATTAGATGACAGACAGCAGTGAATACTGTACCATATTGGTGGAGGTAATGATAATGATTGATAATAATAAAGATGATACTTTCCAATGGAATATGCATCAAAACAGTTCAGTCTTGTTAATTTTTCTATCAAATTCTATATTACCGTACTGTATATATTCCGAGTGAACCAGTAGACCAGGGTAACCCCTACTCCTCTCAAAAGATGTACTGGGTTCTTTAAAGTGCACATGAGCATTTGTGTACACTGGGCCTACGGTTTATAGTCCTTATCCGAGAAGATTTGTTCCACTACCAGAACTATAGAACTATATATAGGCATGTCGCATTTTTTTTTTTTTTGTCAAATACAGTTTGGTAGTCTGCAAAAGGCTCTAGTCAGTAAAAGTGTGTGAATCTGCTTGTTTAAGGTATTCAAGCAGTTTTCAATCAAATTATTTTCCGCCCAAATAATTTTGATCTTGCCTTTTAATTTGTGCATACCTACCTGTACATTTGTGTATTCTATTTGTTGTAACACTAACAGTTTAGAAACCCTATTGTGTGGCATATAGTAACGCTATTGTTGCGTTTGTTATTAAAGATGTGCAAACAGACAAAGCAGGCTACAGTTATACAGGGTAGAGGTGATCAATAGCCCAATAATTGAAGGGGTGTAAGAATACCAATACTTAATGTACTATACTGTTTACCCAGACTGTGTATTTGACAAATGCACTTGTTTTGTGATCAATCTGTTGTCTCACCTCTTTTATAGACAGCATTCCCGGCATTACCTTTGTAAATGTGTTTAGCATAAGCGTACGTCTACATGTACTGTTATTTTCTCAATGAATTGGGCGTTTACAGATAATAAATACTTGGTATTAGAGTGAGGTAGGCGCTATTTCGTGTTTATTTGTTTCTGATGTTTACAAAATCATTCACATGGTGCCTGTCACTGTCGCTGTGAGTGCAGTGCCAGTAAGGGATAGGCCTACGCGATACCGATCGTTCAGTAGATAGAAACAAAGGGGTCCGATGTGTCCGAGGGGGAGAGAGTGTTAACGGTAAACCAAGGGGCTGACTAGACCCTCTGGGAGTGTTAATATTTTTATTTGGGTTTGCTTAGTACTGTATGGCCCAAAATAGACCTCCCGCCACCACTGCTCGAGGATGTGTAATCTCATGGGGGTGGCAATCAATGGTAATCAATTCAATTTTATATTTTTGATGCCGACGATCTTGTCATGGCGTTGGATGCCTGGGGAATGCCTGCTGGCACCAACACTGCTTGGGGTGCAGAATGGCATTGTAGTTAGACCCCCAGCAAGAAATCAAAATGTATTAAAACTACAAATATTAATGATAACTTAATCTGAACCACGGTCCCCATCAGGGTCTGATTTTATAAATATGCTAATCTATTGTAAACAATTATCCACATTAGGTATTATATTGTTATTCATGTACAAGTATTTAGCACTTTTAGGGCCATAAAACCCTTGTAACTCAAGAGTGAAACATAGCATGAGCCACATTTTTTCAGCCCGTCAAGAATGCTCGTTTCTGTCTGTCTCAAAATGGATTTTGAATCCTTTTTTCTTTGACATTTCTTGACTTTTATATGGAGTATTAGTATCTTGCTTCGCAAAAGAAAGTAAATGTACCATAAAAGTACATTGTCCTGTTATTAATGCCCATGAATGAGGGTTGTGATGTGGCATAGTGGCTTGTTTGATATCAAAGATCTTACTCAACCCGCATGAAAAGCATTATTCAATTCCAGCCTTTGTCCTCGCCTTTTGTACGTTATTGAATGCATCTGTTGAAATATCTATTGCCCATTGTATAGATGATTTAATGAAAATGGAACTGTTTGATAATTTTAATACAGAAAGGTTTGCACCCATTTTTAGTTTTGTCTCAAAATCATCACTATTTTTTTTCTTTCACATGTATAGTAATGTGTTTATTCTGCTTTAGCATATACCTCTTTGGGACTTAAATAATCATTATTTTTAGTTGTTATTCTAATTAAACTTAGATAAGATGATCTAAGAGTTTGAGTTAAAGCTTTACAATTATCATTGACTGTACTCTCAGGAGTTCTTTAATTAGCAAGAAACAACTGATTCAATAAGTCGGTTATCTTTAATTAGTCCATGCTATCTAGTGTCATGTGACATTGGCAAATACTAATATGATATGACGTCGTCATGCCCATATATGGTTGTAGTATCGCATCATAATGTCCATATATTGGCATAATATGACATCGTAATGTCCTTAGGGAGACATTTGTCACAGAGGACAACTTTACCGTGTGAACAGCCAGTATAGTTTGATGTGCTGTTTCAATTTTAGTTTTTACTGTAAGTACGGTAGATGAAAACAAAAATAAGGAAGTTGAAGTTCAATTTTAGTTCTTAAATTTCAAGAGAAAACAACTATTAGGAAATTAAGGTGTTTTGTTTTACCAAGAAAATTTAATATATTACTATCTATACTTCCTCCAGACTGAAAGGGAAAAGAAAAGGCTTCATTGTAATATCTAGGGCTTGCTTCTGCTGAGGTAAAAGCATGTGTTTTTAAATGGTTATTAAAAGTACATGTTTTTTCCCCCAACAGAAACAGGCCAAAAAAAACCAAAAATAATGCGTTCTAAAAATGCCTGTTTTAACAAACATCCATTATAGGGTTGGTGTTCAGAAAACATGTTTTGTGGTACACTTTTCAGCTGCAATGCAGTACCGTGTTAGTCATGACCTGTCGGTGACCCAAACTGACCTCTTCGTTGGTTCGATCGTTTCGTTTCGGGATATTAGGGGCAAAGAAAAAAATGGAACCAACAGGATGACAAGCTTTAGGCTTACCATAATTTTTTCATACTTTCGCGGTGTGTTGTTTACTTCTTTCGCAGCATGCGCTGTTAGCTTACAGCAAGTAAGGTCAACTTCAACTTCCATAGGTGATTGGCATTATAAGCTCCGCCCACCTACCTCTATCAACGCTGGCAGTACCATGTTTTTAGCAGTTGCACTTTTCACTAGAAACACGTTCCGAAGGAAATTAACGGTTTTTAAAAAACACATTTTTGACGTTGTTCAGCAGAAACATGCCCTAAATAAACTGTATTTAAAAAATATTTTCAGTGGAAAGCAACATGAAAAAAAATTAATTGACGATTTAAAAAATTCCAGTAAGTGACATAAAAAAGGCAGAGGTCTGCGGTCAAGTCCTATATTGTGGTGGTATAAAGAATATGATGTTGCAGTGTATTGTAGAAATTGGATTGATAAATTGTGAGGAAGAAATAAGTATTCTTATCTGAATATTTTAGAGAGAAAGTGGGTGTAATTAAATAAGAGTCCATATTTTAGAGTGGTGGGTGTGCTAATGGACCAAAAATATTTTATGTTCTATCTTTATAAGCGACGGTTTAGCTCATGTAACATCTTGAAGAAGTTCCTGTTTATGAAAAAATAAAATAAAACATACAATATGTGTCAGTATTTCATTATGATTTATTACAGTCTATTGGTTTTTCTGTTATCTTACAGACGAACCGAGGCATTTGACAAACTGCGAAAAGCTGGACTGGATGATGGCACTTACCTAATTCGCCAAAATCCTGAGAAGTATGACAGTTATTGTCTGAGTGTAGTGTATGGCCAAGAATTCAAGAACTACAAAATCAAAATTGAAGATGGTATGCAGAATTGTTGACTTGTGTTTGTTGAATGTCAAGATATAATGTTTTTTTAATTAAGACTGACTTTTTATCTGATTAACTGAAACTAAGATGTCATTTCATTAGTGAATTGATATATATTTGCCATATCTAATATATAGGTTCACATGTATCATTGGTGAATTAATGTACATTTTCCTTACCTAATTTGCATACAGGTGAACCTGTATCATTAAATAAGCAAGATTTGTTTGAATCATTATAAATGTTAATGTAATTGATACATATTCTGTCATTTCATTGGTGAATTGATGTATATTTCCTTATCTAATTTGCATACAGGTGAACGTGTATCATTGAATGAGCAAAATTCGTTTGAATCATTACGAAGTTTAATGGAATTCTACCGAAATCAAGAGAATTGCTGGTGCTTGGACGGCCCGCTTAAAAAGTGTATAACAAGTACATCAAGCTCTGGTACCACCACGGGTAAAGTCATTTGTCATAACTTTATTGTATGTACTATAACCAAATACAAAAGGTGACCAGGAAATAGCATCCCTAATCAAGCTATGCCGCTCTTAACTACAATCATCATAATCATACATACTTACTTATGCCTTGTCACACTTGTCCAGAGCATAGGCCATCAACTACGGATCTACATTTAATACGATTATGGGCCACTGCTTCTATTTCCTTTCAGGTATATTCTTCCTTCTTCATTTCATTCTCCACTTCCCTTCTCCAAGTGTTTTTTTTTAGTGTTCCATGTTAGTGCTTGTTATGGTGTGATTTTGTGTTTTCTTCAACGCATGTCTAATCCAACCCCATTTCCTTCTGGCGACTAAGTTTACAGCTGGTTCTTGATTTGTTTTTTTTCCAAAGCTCTTCATTACTAATTTTATTTGGCCACCATATTTTTAAAATTCTCTTCAATTTATTTATAAATTTTCTTTGGTTTGTTTAAACCTATTTAATCGTTAGATTTTGGGATGATGTACTGCAGAGTGGGTATGTGGGCGCTTGTGTGGGTGTCTACATAAATCTCAGCTTCGAATTAATTCAATTTGAAATGTGGTAACAAAATTAGCTCTGAATTTTAACAAATATTATTAAGTTACAAATGAGTAGTATAGTAGTTGTGGTCCTGTCTCTCAACTTGGGGGGGTCAGAGGTTCATATCTTGATGGGATATACACGTATTTGTCCCTCTACATGTAGGCATATTTTTGCTGTATTCTGTAGTGATTTATCATATGGTTCGCCAAAAACGAAGTAATTTTACAAGAATTCGGTACCTGGAAGAGTGTGATTGATTTGCAATGAATTGATCTGGATAAAACCTGGTTTCCATAAAAATCGCTAAATTTAGGCAACATACCAACTATAGATTCTTTTATTTTCTCTTCAGACAACTCCTTATTAATTACAAGCCGAACAGGGTGTCCAGCGCCTCCAAGTTCTCCAATTCCGACTCGTACCAGTATGAACTACATCCGTGAATCCGACTTAACAGATCCTTCTACATGGCGCCCTCTTGGTAACGGCAAATTTATTGAGGTGAAGCTGGGAGAGCTAAATCAGCTTGGAATACCTGTACGTAGAGTTAATGCTGTTATTAAGATGCCAAAAGAAGGTGCTCCATCAGACTTCAATATGGTATACAATTTTTTAAATAATTTTACTTTCTTTTATATTTGGAGCTTGCCATACCATAACCAGCTTCAGTGACCAAAACAAGAAAATTGACTTTTTAATATATTCATATATTCATATATTCATAATACTGGCACATTCTTATGCTAATTACTCTGTTTAACATTTAGCTACTGTATGTCTGCTTTGTGGATGTCAAGCCTCATTTATTATTTTTTTACATTAGTATGTACAATTTTATTATTACATTTATTATATTATATTTATTAATATCATTGGAATTTCACCTGAGACCTGGATACAAGGACCACTTTTAAGTAATTATAGTTATTTTAAATTATTTAACACATTTATGTTTCCGTTGGTTAAGATGTTCAGCCAGCTAGCAGACAAATTGTCGGGACTGAAGCATGCGCATATCATTCGCTTTGAAGGCATAAGTTTCAACTACCGCAGTATCTTTGAGTATGCTGATAAAGGACCATTGGATAAGTACCTGGACAGTTACAAATTGCACCTCAAGAAACCTCACCTTCTGCATGCAGCCACACAAATAGCAGATGCACTAGAATTTCTGGTAATTTTAATTCTTTTTATTTCATCGTCATCATCACTATTATCATCATCCCCCTGTCAGGCCACTGTTGCCCAATGGGCTCCTCAAACTCCATTCTGGCCTATTCTTTGCCAGATTTGCCCCAATATACTTCCAAGCTTTTTCTGGAAAAGATCACTCCATCTCCATCTTCATCTTTTTATTTATAATATGGATTTTGTGTTTAGTAGACACATGGCCGGTTGTCGTCTGGCAGTTCACCTTGTTAAGAGTAAATCCAGTTGAGTAAATGCGGTAGAGCAATGATGGGATGGGTCATGAGCTAAAGATAAAAATGAAAGTTTATGAAGTATGACGCTGTACAGTTATTCTAGTTTCATTGACCAAATCGCTGTCAGAGTTGCACTCTAAACTGTATGCGAAATATTAATTCGCGCTACATGGTCTATTGATTTAGAAAAAAACAAATTTCATTGGCCAAATTGATGTCAGAGCTGCACTCTGAACTGTATAGTGCTCCATGGTCTACTGATTTCGTAACAACAACAGTCTAGTAAAGCACTATTTCGAAAATGGAGTCGATGAGAGCGATGTGGATGTACTGTAGGCCTTGGCAGCGCTAAAAAAAATGAGTAGTAGTGTTGAGCTTCCTCCAAAAAAAAAAGCTAAAACACACGCAAACATGCATGCTAATAACGGAAAGTGTCCTGTCAGTTTGAAATCAAAACTACTGTAGGCGATGCCTGCGGTACGCTCAGTGTGATTGGTGCGGTGTTGATTTTCTGCCTAGGCCTAGGGCCTAGTCTTGCACGGCGGTATTGCTGATTGTGAGTCAAAATGGTTTTTATTTTACAATCCGATCACATTGGTACCATGTCTTAGGAATAATCCTCTCACATTGCCAAAACTCCGCTCAGAGGTTTTTCAGACTCCTCTTGTTGGCCTTGTAGGATTGGCATGTGTGAGTTTATCATCATGCTACCGTGTATGCAAAACTATAAAAAATTCATAATCATATTTATTACTGTTTGTCCATCTTAGTTTTATATAATATTTGGCTTGACCGGTACAAACTTCTGAAAATTTAATTAAACATTTCTGCTCTTTTATAAAATATCTTAAATAATTTTTCTAATAAAATTAATATACAACTAAAAATGAACAAACAGTAAAATATGAATCATGATGAAGCACTAATAGTTATATGGTTAAAGCCTAAAAACCTGTCCAGACTGTCAAATTTTATTTGATAAAAACATGCGACATGTCTAAATAAGGTCATGATGACATCACATCATGACCATATACAGGCACATCGTGACTATATATGGGCATGCAACAGTTTTTTTTCAAAGAAAATTTGATAGTCTGGACAGAGCTTAAAGCCCTGTCCAGACTACAAAATTTTATTTGACAAAAAAAATGACATGCCTAAATATGGTCATGATGACATCACATAATGACCATATATAGGCACATTATGACTATATATGGGACTGCTCAGACCTGCCACCAATAATTATAGTATTTGGTTTTCTAATGTGTCCTTAAAGAAATTATATAAATGTTTTTTTGGTTTTTTTTTTTTAAACAGGAGAAGAAACAAATTGTTCATGGCAGCATAGCTGCCCACAATGTTCTTGTCAAGCATCCCCCGCCTCGCTTCCACGTAAAAATAACTGACCTGATGATTGGCCGTTACTACTTTAAACTTGAAGATCGTCATCCAATCAGAATGAAGAGGTATGGATATGTTTGTCTGTAATTATATGATTAGTTAATGTAAGTTAATTATTCCATGAACCTATTAATAAGATATTAATAGATCCATAATTATTCTATGTTGACAGCAGTCAGCTATTTATAGTTACCTACAGGACACTGGGCCATCAAACTTTACCTTAAGCCTCTACTCACCTTTTCAACAGTCTCCCATCAATCAATAGTTTATCTTAACCTATTGTAAACCGGGTCATCAAACTTTCTCCTTAGCTGCTAATCGTATTTGGATCGTATTTGGAATACTCTTCGTAGTATTAATTTAAGAATTACAATTTCCTATTTACATATGAATTTTATAAAGTTTATCATGATGAATAAAATGTCTCCTGATGAAGAGTCCACTCTGTGGATGAAACCTGGGCTGATAAATTTTATATTTAGTCTTTAAAGTGCTGAGGTTTGTCATTTCTTATATTAGTTTATGTTGTTATGGTAATAACTGTTCTGTACCATGCATCGATTATATGAAGGGATGACCTCCTGACCATGCTCCATGATGTAAATATGACCTCAATCTGGCAATGATATGGCCACCCACAGATTATTTTTTTTATGAGTATAGAGAAGATAATATTTAGCTGCACAGAGTCTGTTATTAAATTGTTAAATCTTCAGTCTAGACTACTAATTAAAATATAGTTATGTATGTAAATATATGTAAATATAAACACCTAATGTAGATAGAGTAAAGACGAATTTGAAAACTAGTAAAGTTATTCAGGATTGTATTTAATGTGTGCAAGTCTCTTAGATTTATGGTTGTAAATTCTTTTATTGGGACAGATATATTAAATAATTATCAGAACTACTACTACACAATTTCGTCTTGAAAGAGTTCATAATTATTATCATTTACAGTAACTTAGAGAATGGAGAAAGATGGTGCCAAGGGTGATATGATAGCGGGTTGAACAGGGGAGGATCCAGAATTTTTTAAAGAGGGGCACAACATATTTAGAATAGATAATAAGTGGCTTGGGAGAGACACATGCCCCTGTGCCCCCCTACTAAATCCACCCTTGTAGAATATAGGGGATATAGTGTGTAGCAAGTAGGGGAAAAAGAAATGAAGGGATGGATAGTAGAAGAGAAATAAGAAAGAAAAAGTGTTCTTCAACGACCTTGTTAAACATTGATATGGTATGGTACTCTGTGTGTGCATGTAAATGTGTTTTTATAATTTTGATAGACCCTTATCTTACAATGGTTTGGCTCATAATTTCTTTTGTCTGATTCTAGTGAAACATAATTCAGTTTTAAAAAGAAAACTTTTTCGAATTCAACTTGATAGGGCAAACATGGTGGTTTGAAATTCAGTCATATACACTCTTTGTTGTAAGTTAACATTTGCTGGTTTTGCAGAGTGCGTTGGACTGCACCAGAGTTGCTAAGGGGAAAGCATGAACCGACAATGGCCAGTGACAAGTTTAGCTACGGTGTTTCACTATGGCAGATTATCGCTTACGGGCGCAAGCCCTATGCTGAGCTATCTGATGAACAGGTGAGTGCTTTTGTAAAGGTTAGTTTCCATACAATCGCTACGTGCTATGGCTGACAGCTTTCGGTGATGCTGATTGGTTAATGTCGAATCGTGGAGTTTTCCCGATTGTGCCGGAGACTGCTACGCTTATGCTGTAGGAGATTCTATTCACCTGTGTAAGGGGCTGTCCCTAAGTGAGGCTCGGTTTGCATTTATGATGCTCTATTCACCTGCATAAAGGGCTATTCACCTATGTGTGATGCTGTTCACCTGGTTAGGCTCAAATTACTTCTGTGAGGTTATATTAACCTGTATCAGGCTCAGATTTGTTACCACAAATAAGTCTTCACTCACCTGTGTGAGGATCCATTCACTTAAGCAACCCAAGTAGACCTTCATATTCTATGTTAAACTATGATCCAGTGGTAATTTCCACAAATATACCTGTTTTTATTCTTTTGCTGTAGGTCCGAGGCTTATATTTGAATGGACGAATTCCTGAGGTTGGCGACTGCCCAGAAGAGTTAAAGGAGATAGTAAACAGATGTTTGATGTTTCAACCATATAACAGACCCTCATTCCGAGATGTCTTGCGAGATGTTAGACAGGTTATGTTGAAGGTAATTTGTAAATAATGTATGTTATTTTTGATGAATTTCATGCACCTCTTTGTTATCTAATGTTCTATCCAGATTATCAAATCAATCAAAATCAAAAAATCAAATCAAGAGACTGTTGTATGCCTATATATGGTCATGATGTGATGTCATCATGACCATATATGGGCATGTCACAAATAAGTTATTATACACAACTAAAACTCTGTCCAGATTATCAATTTTTTTACCATATTTAGGCATGTCACATGATTTTGACTGCCACCAGTGTAAATGTGTATGTTTAAATAAGTATTAGAGATAATATTATTAATGATGTAAAAATTTATTATTCAATCTAATAATAATGTTGATGGCGATGATGACAATGACAATGGTAATAGGCGATGATTAATCCTGCTCAGTATAAACAGTGATGTAACGATGGGGCCGGGGGCCCTTTGGCTTTCTGAGAGTGGGGGCCTTTTGGGTCCCGGTTGCTAATTTCATTGTGTAATTTTAGATGTGCTCCTTTTTTAATTATGCTTGTTCGGGGCCCTGTGGACCACCGCACAAGAGCGCATAAGCATTATGCCACTGACTGTAGAATACATGCTCGGATGCCTTGGGAAGTGTTCCGGAATTGTTCCAAGGTATAACTAGCACCTTAGCTTTCAAACCAGGTGGCTTCAAAGCATTTGTGTTCCTTTGATAAAAATCCAAACCCCTACATTATAAATGAATAATATGACTGTTCTTCATCTACTTTTTTATAAATGTTTTGCGTTTTTCCTTGTGTTTATTTAGGTGGTCGGAGATTATGCCGGTGATAGGGAAAACAATGATGTATTTGTGTATGATGAACTTTTCCCATCGGCTTTTTCCAACAACAGTGACAGCCAACCAAACCAAAATTCCAATGGAGGTGAGCTAACAACAAAAATAATGTGAGAGCATACAAAGCATTTTGGGTACTGGATGAATGGGCTGATGTAGAAAACTAGGGTGGGTCATAGACATTTTAAGGGTGGGTGGCTTACGATATTGGAAAACTCTAAATAAGAATGGATTTTAAGGATAGACAAAAGGGGCTAATAAAGGTGGGTGGAGGGTGGAAAACTTCAAGGCTGGGTGGCTCCACACACAATAAATACATGACTGGATATGGGTGAAAAGAAAAGCAATGAATGTTATAACATTACGATTGACAAGTGTATCCTAACTCATATTTTTGATCTGATTATTTTCTACATATTAAATACCACAATCTGTACTCTACAGTGTCAGGCACACCAGTCACACCAACGTATATAATAGTAGGTAGTTTTCAGCGCAAGCCGTTAACCTTAACTTTAACATATGATGTCATAATTTATTCATCTTGCGTTGTGGAATATGTTAATTTCAGGATTTTACGTGCTCGACGTACATTAGTTTTGGGTTTGCGCATGCGTATTTTGATTTGTTTATAAAAAGACCGGAGCTATCGCATTGCATGTTGGGTACAAACATTTAAGTTAAGGTAAACGTCGTGCGGCGAAAATACCTAGTAAATACTGTATTTATTTGAATAAAGGCCCCGCTTTGAATATTTTCGCTCACTCAAATAAATTACCTCTCCAGAGCCTCATTGCCTGGGGCTTTTATTTGAATAAATACAGTATATAAATAATAAATAATTTTTCACATCATTAAACCAAAAATAGGTTGACAAATTGTGACTGGCAACGTGATGCTGCTGCTGATTGTCAGTGCAGTGTGAGCCTATTGTATCCATGGCGGCGTAATGCATATTATTGGTTGGCTAATATGTTTCTTATCTTTTAATTATTAACAGAACTAGTTCCTGTGCAGTCTCCTGACAACAATAATACATTTGCTGTTGCGCCTACATTGAATGTATGTATTCTTCATTAGTTAATAATCGCAATTTTAGAAATATGAAAATATGAATAGTAATGTTTCGTATATAGAGTGCTTTCTTCAGAAAGTCTTTTCTGTATTACCCTGGCCATATACGGATTTAAGGGGTGGAGGATAGCCATTTCAGGCTGAGGTGGTCTAGACACTTCATCTGTCAAAATACATCCCTGGGCCCCTTTGTTTCAAATTCCTGTATCTGCCACTGAAAGCTAATGTTAAAATTGGATTGTTTAATTTTAGGATTCTGCCCAGGATCCCGAGTGGGACCCCGAACTGGATATAATGATGGATATAGACCAGGAGTTCCACTTGCGTGATATACCAAATGATAACTTACAGATGCAAGCCAAACTCGGTGAGGTGAGTCACCTTTGATTGCTCTTTTCTAATATAAAATGAGGACAGTGTTTTCTTGCAGATACAGTTAATTCACCCCATGTGATACTTTGTTGATGCAAAGTTCAATTTCAGGGGTGGATCCAGAAGCCATCAAAACGGGGTGGGGGAGGGGCACCAAATTTTTAGAATAGATAAGTGAGAAGCACTAGCAACGAATAGGTTGGAGGACCCATTAATACAATTTGTATCTTTGAATTAGAATTAGAAAACTTTCTTTTTACTGGATACCCAATTAATGTCAGGACATTGTTCTTTCTTGGCGTCCAGATAACAAAAACTTAGATTTCATACAAAACAAAAAATAAATAAAAATAAAAATTATAATGAAGAGTTATTTAGGCTATGGTCATTTGTTACATCAGGTAATTTAGGCTAGTTACAATGATAACTAAAGTTTTGGTAGGTCTGATTAGTTTCTACGATGGTAATAAGAAGAAGAAGCCTGATGTTTTGGTGCGTGTCTGAATATGCTAATTGCTCATTTCCATAATTAATATTTCATTTATCTGGTAATTTTGGCTATTTACCAGGATAACCAAAGGTTGGTTTTCTAAATCTTCCTTATCAATTCTCAGAGAAAAATTAATGGCAGTGATAAAAGGGCATTTCTAATTGTATTTATTTCTTATTTTATGTATTGAAATTTAAGAAAAATATATAGGCATTAAATAAGGGCCTTATTTAACATAACATGCTTCACCCCATACTTTCATTGAATCTGCCCTGATATTTTCTTTGTGAGGATATTCTAATTAAATACAAATTACACAGGGGTCCCAAGTTAGAAGAAATCCCTTCCGGGAAATCTGGTTAACGAGCTTAACATATTTTATTTTATTTTGCTGTGCTTTGTGATTACCCATTGGCACTGACTTCCATGATACAATTAATATTAAAGTATAAAAACATGCAAATTATATTCCGGGAGATTCTTGCTTGATTGCGGGAATGCGGGAGGCCATTCCAATTTCCAGGACACTCCCGCGATATCCGAGAGACTTGGGGTCCCCTGATTACAATAGTCAACTTAGGCAGGTAACTCAATCATGGACTACCAACATCAGTGGTAATTTGTGTATATGAATTAATTTTATTAAACTCTTGTTTAGGGTTTTTATGGCGAGGTTCATAAAGCTATCTGGAAGTTGGATGGAGGATTTGCACTCGACACCGAGAAAGTTGTGGCTGTGAAAATGCTGAAAGAAAAGCATTACGAAAAGTATTACGAAGCTTTCAAAAGAGAGATCCAATGGATGGGCAGCCTCGACCACAGGAACATCGTTAAAGTCTTGGGAGTTTGTAAAGGTAACTAATAATCGATTCACACAATGGTATTACCTAGATTTGTAAATCTTTGTCTTCTTGGTGTTAACTCTTAGGCCTTCGATTCCAACCTCAATTTCCACTTCTCAAGTTTTCCACTGAGCTCTTCCATGTTGTCAGCCATAATTACCAGATCATCGGAATTCAATAATTGCCATGGGAGGCTACCTGAATTCCTGTGATAGTACCTCAAGGAAAATTGCAAACAGAAGAGGGCTTAGCACAGAGGTTTGATGCACATCCATTCTGACATCAAAAACATCACCAAGTATGAGATTAACCCGAACAGAACTTCACATTTTTATACATTGACATGTTGATTTTCATCAACCACCAGCTTCCTTAGTGACCATTCACGAGGCACACGGTCTAAGGCCTTTTCAAGATCAATAAAGGCAAAATAGAGAGGTTTTTTCTTGTCCATATATCTTATATCATATGTTGTTCCTCTTCAGGCATGAAACCAAACTGCATAGCATTTATTTCAACCTTCTCCCTTAAGAGCTTTTCAATAATTGATACTAAAATTGGGAATAAAGTATGAGATGGGCTTTAACTCGAGAAAATATAGTAATTCAATATACATGGTACAATTCTTGTGGCTATTAAGGAATTGTTTTTTTTTTTTAACAGGACGGTATATCAGATTAGTACTAGAGTTTGTTCCACTTGGTGCTCTCAAGATGTATTTGAAGGACAAAAGGAACACTGTGTCAACTAATACATTGTATTTATTCTGCACACAAATCTGTGATGTAAGTGTAGTCAGCATATTTTCATGTTTTTTAAGCCCTGCCCAGACTATTAAATTTTATTAACAAATAATGGTCATGACAGAATCATGACCATATATAGGCCCATCGTGACTAAATATGGTCATGATGACATAGAATCATGACCATATATAGACACATCGTGACTAAATATGGTCATGATGACATAGAATCATGACCATATATAGGCACATCGTGACTAAATATGGTCATAACATAGAATCATGACCATATATAGGCACATCGTGACTAAATATGGGCATATTGTTGGTGCAAGCTACTATATTTCTGTTGGTTTTCGGTTGGAATCACTCATGCGTGACTGTTCTACCTGGCGTCCTACCTTCTCTGCATACGTAGATTTGGCCAAATTGCGTTCCAGAATCTACTCAACGAGGTGACCTTAATGTTCTTTTACTGACGTCATTTGCTCTTTTCTATGAAAAGATGGTTATTTAATCGAAAAGTGAAATTATCACGTAACACAATGAAGCGAAATAATACAAATCAATCTAGTAGACCTGCCTATTTCTTACTGTAGGATTTCTCAACAGCAAATGCTAGCCCTGGAATATATGTTTGTAAATATACGATTGTTTTTATTAAATGTCAGACAACATAGAAAATAAAGATGATATAACTGAAATGCACTTTAATAATAATAATAATGTTATATTTATATAGCGCATATTGCACATTGCCCCTATGCGCTTTACAAAGAAAGGATATAGGCCAACCGAGAAAATACAAATAACAATAAAATAACAACAATAAAATACAATAAAAAATAGTAATCATAATAAAAATAATAACAATGAGACTGAACTACTCCTATTCCTTAAACTAATTAATGGTTGGCCGTTGACTCCGAGGAGCTCATCCGCCCTTTGTTCAACTATTGATTTTTCTTGCTGCTGGGTGACCATAAACAGCCTCCCCTCAGCAGCCACTAAGATAGGGTTGTCAGTTTAGTCACCGACGCTTCGACCGGGTGGAGTTTAATGTCGTAACCAGGATGCCCCTAACTACCTTAAGCTAGGCTGAACTACTCTTAAATACTGTATTTTACTCTTAAATACAATTGGCTAAACTATCTCCTGCCGGACACCATCCCGGTATTTAGCAGTTTCGGGGCCATTTTAGTTTGCATCAGCAATTCATGGTATTCATGGTCAATTCAACCATTAAAATAATATTATTAAAACATAATTAAAAAAAAAAAATACATTCATTCCGCATTAGATTTTTTGGAAACAGGAGAGCTTTGACACAAACAATTAAATTAATATGGCGTTACATCTGTCTTCATTTCTAGGCTATGCACTATCTTGGAAACCAGGAGGGTATGTGTATTGTGCACAGGGACTTAGCGGCCAGGAACATCTTGGTAGCCAGTGAAGACCACGTCAAGATAACTGATTTTGGCCTAGCCAAGAGTTTTGGGTCTGATAGAGATTATTATGTTGTCAAGGGCAGTGTGGACATGCCATACAAATGGTAACTTTATTCTTATGTTATTTTTTTATGTACCACCTTTATTTTATATGCTAATTTATTATTGATTGCTCCCCATCTCCTCATATTAGTCAACTTTTGAATTGTTTATTTGTAAAGCCCTGTCTAGACTGTAAAATTTCATTTGACAAAAACATGCGTTAATTTGGTCACGATGACATCACATTATGACCAAAGTAGAATATTTGATAATCTAGACAGAGCTAAACAGTAGTATTTTTAGATTGCAGAGTCACTTCTAATTATATGTTTGTCAATTTATAAGTTTCTAGTTTTGTTATGTTTATGTTATATGTATATAGAAACAGTAATAATAATATAGAAAATTAGATTCTGGAAATATTTATTATGATGTTACATTTTTTTTAGCTATCGGTTGATTATTTTTTACAGGTATGCGCCAGAATGCATTTTTCATCTTAAATTCAGTCGTGAGGGGGACGTGTGGAGCTTTGGCGTTTTGATGTGGGAGATGTTTACGTATGGAATGGCACCAACGTATGTCACTAAATTTATCTATATTATCGTCATCGTCATCATATTTTTATTTTTTAAAAATGAAAAATCTGTTAATAAAATCAATAAATACAAACGACGATACAAGCCTCAGTAAACTGTATTGTAGAACAAAGTCATACATGCTCTTGATATATAGTAAAGTGGAAAAATTTAGTAGAAAACACCCATAAAAGTGGACCAAGATATAAGTAACAGAGTTAGAGGTGTTTCTTGTCGATAAAAGAAAGTGTATTAAGAAAAGATTGAATATCTTTTCTTCTCCACAGGTACCTTGACAAAAATGGTAAGGAAGTACCATCGGGTAGAATCGTGGAATTTCTCGAAGGTGGTGGACGGTTACATCAAAGAAGCACACCTGATGAAGCATATGAGATAATGGGCAGATGCTGGCAAACTGAACGCAGGGATCGGCCCTCATTCGCAGACCTCAGCAAGACTTGTAAAGATTTGATGAGCGGTGACCAGCCCTCGTAATGATACACGCCATCACATGCCATGCCATCTATCATATTCAAGAGTGCGTTAACAACTCGCCGCATAATTATACGATCGTTGAAAACAAACACCGCATTCTTTTTATAATTTTATTCGGTAAGGATTGTGAAATGAACTAAATTAAGATGACAAGGTCATAGGTCATATGTGAGTATATAATTAACGAGAAATTAGAACTGTTTATATTTCAAATTTTTTAAACATGACCATGTTTGTTATTTGGTTGACATATTGTTTAGCTTTCATAGTTTAAAATATCTTTCCTGTTTTTTCAAATGATAAGTATTTCAAATTATAATATCGGTTTGTAGATAGTATTTACACACATGGACAGTATCCTTGGAAGGCAAAGCGTTCAAACCCTGATGTTACAGCTTTTTTAGTTCAAACTAGATCTGTGTGTATTAAATTACACACCATCTTCCAATAGTATGCATACCAACTTCAATATTTTTTTTTAGGATTAGGAAATTTTTTTTTTTCCCATCTCATTTGAAAAACAAATATTTTGATGTACAGTGACACATTTTATTTACTGTTAAAGCTTTTCTTTGTCTATGGATTTTATGTATTAGTTAGGGCAAAGCAATATATATTTAGTTTATCTTCTTTACTGAAATAAAATGCTATATTACACATGTGCCAAGTAAGTACACATCTGCTCTAGATTCCCAAGGAGGATAAATACAAACATGTAAAGGATTTTTTTTTTTAAATATAAACATGTAAAGGATTTTTTGGCAAACAGCTCAACAATGTAGTGTACTGTACTGTAATGTATTCCCTATTGGTTTATCTTATGTTGACATTTGAAAATACCTTACCATAGATAAAAACAAGTATTCAATAAATATAACTTTTGTTATTATTATCATCAATAAATTGATTTTAATTTGAAAAATTATACTTTGAAATATTTTATATATTGATTTTGGTATTGCTTGTTATTTTTTGTATTGTGATATTGGACGCAAACTTGGTGTTTATTGTCTTGATTTTACTGTGCTAATGCCTTTGAGTAAAGAAATCAAAGAGAAGATGCACACAGTTCATTTGCAATTGAATTCCTCTGTTATGGGGGAAAGTGCTATGCCTGTCAGTGGAGCAATGAATTTCAATTGTGGGTGTAGCTGATAGGTAGATTACAAAAAGCTAAGTAAGGTTTCTTCTTTTTTTTTTAATGGTGAGTTGTGTTCAGCATTAGAATGTCCAATACAAACTGGAATTGAATCATTGATGTAAGTTTTCCCCTCTGTAATTAGGATATAAGGCTTTGTGGTATTTGTTAATATTTTTTGTGGGGTTTTGTGTGTGAAATCAGATATTGGAGATATGTTAATATGTAGTCTGCCGGCACCAGTAGATAAACTTCATGGTGTTCATTCGAAGTAGAGTCTAATTACAGTAATCGTGAAATAAGAGGGTGCCATTCTGTAAAAATTGTTATACATATCAGCTGGTTTTTAACAAAGCTTGCGTTACTAATTATAATGTCTTCTGCTCCTTGCCAGTGTGTGCCCCTTTGCAATGCAGGTACACAGATATCTTGAATTTTGTGTCGGTTATACATTGCTTTAAAAATCATTAATCTAACTGAGAATTGACAAATATTGGTATGAAATTGTCGAGGATCTGTCATGCATAACTATGGCATTTGCAAGTGTTTGTGGATTGTTGATATGCGACAGTTTTACATTAAGCCTAAGCTACACGTTGGAATTTCAATTGTGTTTTTTCCAAAAATGATTTGGTGCTTAAAATCTATTTTCAACACTTTGCTCTCTTTTTAAAAAAACTAGTCAAATACTGTAGTTGCTCAAGTCAATGTTAGGACCTCAATGGAAACAAGTAGAGTAACTGCAGAAATGTTGTTTCTGTTTTTAAATTTTGCAACACAGCAGTTTTGTGAAAAAATTGGAATGTATTCTGGCTAGATTTAACAACATAATGTATCTTCAAACCAAAAAAAAATGATTCAGAATTTAGGAAAATGGGTGAAATACTTTAAAATATATTTGAAATTAAAAGAATACTAATTTACAAATTACATGACTTTATAATTGCTCATTGTGAAATGCATACCATTATATACGTGCCTTATCAAGTAAAACTGAGCATTTTCACTAACAACATTAACATTTCTTTAGTATTAGGTTCATTTTATCATTGATTAATTTGTATGCAATCTGAAAATATAAAAATCAAATTTTGAACAAGATATTCAAATACCTTATTAAAAGTGTATTTAATCTTTGAAACACATAGTAATGTTACTATTATTATTTTGTAATTTCTTTATATGTTGTTCATTTTCATTTGTTTGTTCTTCTAACATTAGTTTGCAATTTTAGTATAGTTTACTGTTTCCCACTTTGAATAGAAAAATATAAAAACAGCAACACTATTTAATTGCATCAGTGTATCATGCAAGTTGTCATGTGTTGAATGGGAGAAAACATGACAGAGACATCCCGGAAATAATTAGGCATTCATGGACAGACTGCTGTTAAGTTCTGTCAATGCTATCACTTTTTTTCAACAAAAACAAGTGACATGCCTAAATATTTTTGTTTCCCTTTAGCGACATGCCTAAGTATGGTTATGATGACATCACATCATGACTATATATAGGCACATCATGACTATATATAGGCACATCATGACTATATATGGGCACATCATGACTATATATGGGCACATTATGACTATATATGGGCACATCATGACTATATATGGGCACATCATGACTATATATGGGCACATCATGACTATATGGGCACATCATGACTATATATGGGCACATCATGACTATATATGGGCACATTATGACTATATATGGGCACATTATGACTATATATGGGCACATCATGACTATATATGGGCACATCATGACTATATATGGGCACATCATGACTATATATGGGCACATCATGACTATATATGTGCACATCATGACTATGTATGGGCACATCATGACTATGTATGGGCATAAAACAGTTTTTTGTCAAATAAAATCTGATAGTCTGGACAGAACTTTAGATGATTTCAATTGATCAGAAAGTAAATGAATTGGTTTTTTATATTTTTTGCTAAAAAAAAAAGTCCAATAAACATATCAAAGATGTTCCGAGAGCAGTTATATATACTGTACAGGAAATATTATTTTGGGAAACAGTATATGTTTAGTGGATATTGAATTTTCTGTATCTTTTTTAAGATAAATTTCTAGATATAGAAATCATATGTTGAAAGTATTTAATAAAATATCTCCTTTGTTATGTTATGTTATTAAGTAGATTTCCCAAGGCAAAAATCCAAGAGGCATTATATGTTTACGTCAGGTATCTTGTTTGCTATGTGAACGACACAGAGAGCTTGTCTGGTGTAAGCCACACCCTACACAATTGTAGCTTTAAAAAGTATTTTTTAAAGCATGTATTAACAACCTATCGCGTAGCTTTTCGGATAACCTAAAATTATTACATTGTTGAAAGTAATGTAATTAAATAGGTAAAATGTGATGGTCATTGTGAATACCAAGATAATTGTAAAGATGAAATTGAATTTACTTTTTAATGAGTCAGTAAAATACATATTAATGTGCATTTGCTACTGCCTCTTCATTCTAGTATTGCTTATATTGTTAATTTGACTGCCCACAAGAATACTCTTTACTCTCTTCCAGTATGCTTTATGTCAATGGTTGCCTAAATGTATCATAAATACTCTTAAAAGATATTGTTGTCGAAGCGTTTTTGAGTTGTTCTCTAGGTCTACTATTGATTTAAACCTACACCAAATATAATCCATGTTATCATTCCTTGCCGAAACTGATGCCCGGCCCGCTTTGGAGATGCAGTATAGATGCAGTGTCCATGTTGCAACTACCATAAACACACCCTCACATGTCATCAACAAAACCGCCTTTTAATTATTTTATATAGCATGACGTATTGAAGCTATGCCATGCTAGAATACCTAGTCTGTATACTCTTCTATTTAATAACTGTACTCGAGTATAAACTCTATCTAAACTGATGTGGGGAGTACACCTCTTTCTCTTCCACCTCCCATTGAACCCTATTACTTTCCCCATGCTTCTATCCAGCCGTTTATTGATGTTTTTACAGGTTCTGCTAATTAATGAGCGCCACCGCCCAGCTGATTTGGGGACCATTTTTTCAGTCATTTCAGAAATTAGGGAGAATTCGATACATGAGTTTGTAGGATATACATACTCCCATGGTTTGGAATCAGTGGCAGCTAGCAGTGATTCAAATCAGTGGCGGATGTAGGCCTACCGTAGGATATATCTTCCGGGGGTTCAGCTGTCCGACAGAAAGGGGGGGGGGGCGTAACTTTGGCGCAGTGCCATTCGAGGTATGTGGACAAATGACAAGATTAACAAATAACATTAAAATACGTCAAAAGGCAATACCGATAATTACATTAAAATTAAAACAAAGTAGGCCTAAATTAACATGCCTACGTACTGCATGTTCGTGTATCTCCTTTATTTCTTTGTGGATAATAACATAAAACATTAATACATTAATGTGTGACGACAAATTAATATAATATTATTACGGCATTAAGATTAAAATATTCAAAAGCGACTCGGTTCATGGGCCGAGTTGGATAAGGGCCGGGTTGACAAGGGCCGAGTTGGGGCAACTCGGACCATACTGACTCGGCCCATACCACCAACTCGGCCCTTGTCAACTCGGCCCTTAACCGACTCGGCCCTTATCCAACTCGGCCCATACACCAACTCGGCCTTTGTCAACGCCATATTGTCAAAATCCAGTTTGCCGAATCCCAGATTGCCTAGTCCACTTTGCCGAAATCCCATTTTGCCAAAAGTCAATCAAAAGCAGTGAAACATTAAGAACAGCATAACATTCATGATGGAGCACTCTTTTACCGTTACTGCGAACTGGTGGAGCCAGCGGAAAGTAAGGGCATAGACATAGGCCTAGATATCTATTCATCCATAATTGGAAATTGTTCTTTTCCACTCTCAAAGAAGAAAGAAAATTACATGATTTATCTGGAAAAAAAGAAACTATCTATTACATGTCTATTGTTAAAGAGGAAAATTCCAGAATTGCGAAATTGACTCTCTTCCATTGCAAAGTGCGACGCGATCACTGTTTTATTCGTATAATAAATAGGCCTAACTGCTTATTATAGTTATTCGTTTTGTCTTATTCTGTAAATCAAACTTGATTAACAATTTAGCTATCAGCAAAAAGAATAATTAAATAGGCCTGTCAGATAAAATGTCTTGTAAGCATATTTATAATAAGTGTATAAAGTTTAATTAAGATAATAATATGTATACCTAAATGAAATAAATAATTATAATCTACAATTATACACCCGAATCAAGGGCTGACTAGAGCAGCTGTCAGGGTCCCGGCATAAAAGAAAATCAATGTGTTCGCGTTGGTAGTTTTTTAGGGGTTTTTTTATACCACAATATTAGAAATTGACAATAAAATAACGGTGTATGGATATGCAAATTATCATTTTTGGTCCAGACGATTTCGTCGAATAAACGCCCAGAGGCGTTTATTGTTGAGAATGGTTTTTGAGGAGGCGTTTATTGTTGAGAATGGTTTTTGAGGGGGAGTTTATTCGAGGGAGGTGTTTATTCGAGGCAGGTATTTATTTTTTTGTGTAAATGGATACGTACTGTATATACTCAAACGCCCCTTAATTCCACTGTAATTAAAATGTAATTCTACTGGAGTAGAGCACCAACAGAAAGTGTTGGGAGTGTTTTTATTCAAGGGGGAGTTTATTCGAGGAAAAAATATACGCCGGGGTGTTTTCGAAAGAGGCGTTTATTCCACATGAGGCTTTAGAAGGGGCGTTTATTCAAAGCGGAGCGTTAACACGGGTACAAATACGGGAATGCAAATATATGGCTCCTCCCTGATCCACCCATCGCGTTTTCAAAAGCACAGTATGCTGTACTTTTGAACGATGGTGACAGCAAATGATTCGGCAAACGGGGTTTCGGCAAACTGGGTTGTTATGGTTTCGGTGAACTGGATTCGGCAAACTAGGTTTCGGCAAAGAGGCCATAATACGGCAATCATGGGTTTGGACAAATTGGATTTTGACAAACTGGTCGGATACCGTTTCGGTCCCGGCCCCAGGGCTAGACCAATTCGAGGATGGACGCTAAAAATAAGGGATGAGCGCTGAACTAATAATTTGTAGTTAGCCTGGTAGGGCACTACTGTCCTTGGCAGCAATTTTCCTTCAGATAGCCTACCTGTTGTGCACCTGTCTCATAATATCCAAATTATGGTTAAAGCAAGCGTGTATGTGAACTACCGGAACTGTGTCGTACACGTCGTCGCAAAAACATCTAAAATATTGAATTTTGAAATGGTGTTTCTTCTAAGTAAGAAAATATACGTATAGGTAAGTGAGTGTACCATACTGTAGTTGTACAAGCCTGTATGCCTTCATGGTGTTCGATTAAATTGCTGTTTAGTTGTGTTGTTGTTCAGGCCCACATTTTCAGACTGGAGACTGTGCTCTAAAATTGTTTTGAGTCCTTTTCACACAATGACATTAAACCGGAATATCTGAGTGAAAAAAATAAACAACAGTAAAAAACAGAGCTAAAGATTTGTTGTTGTGTAATGACATACCCCGTGTAATCGTGGGCACATGTTTTTGCAACCTACATTCAACAATGTAAATCTAAGTACTCTTTAAAAGTAGGCTCAGTAAAATCATTTTAATTAATTTAATAAAGTGTAATATTATTTATATAGTGACTTAGTTTTAATTTAAATACAATAGGCCTATAATAACAATCGCTAAATATATAAATTCATGATCTTAATGCCGTTAATGTTCTCAAAATCATTGTACATACATTCTATAATTGTTTTTATCATTTTAATTAATTTAATAAAGTGTAATATTATTTATATAGTGACTTAAAAACGATCCATGGGTCATCAAACTTGCTTTGGTTTAAATTTTAAAAAATTAAATTTAAAATACAATCTCGGTGTATTTATACAATTTGATTTATTTCCTGCATTGTATTCGTTTTTCGATATATTTATATTTATTTATTTATTTATATTTATATTTATATTTATTGTTGTTTTTCTTAAATATTCTACACCAAATATATATATTAAATAATATATATTTTATGTTCTGTAACACGTCAACCTCTGTCATTTATTTTCGTACTTGACTCACATGTTATACTTATTTGGAGCATACGTCGTGCAGCTCATTATTTTGATGTCAAGTATATATACTGTCTCTTATACACATCTAGATGTGTATAAGAGACAGTTATATACATATATATATAGGTATATATATATATATATATATAGGTATATATATATATATATATATATATATATATATATATAGTATATATATATAATATATATATATATATATATATATATATATATATCAAGATAGTATGTAGGGAAAATCTAAACCGTCTTTCGAAATGCTATATAAATAAATAGGCCTATATAAATAATAACAGTGCTCAGATAGAAACATAACATGTAATGATCATACCAAATATGGAGGGTCCACCTAAAACTTGGACCGCAGCTTTGTTATTATAGGACAATACAGGGGTCCGACAGAGTATTGGTTAAAATGTTAAGATTTAATATTCGCTTTTAAGTTTTATTACAAAAAAATAAATAAAAATGTGTATTCATTACTTCTTCGACTGTCTTAAAAAATTGGACCTTGTCGATTTGGGGTGGCATGTTGGGGAGCGTAGTCACCCACTCATATTAAAATAACGCTTTATTAACATGTACACTTTACGTAAAGTATTAAATCTATCAAACAATCCATTTTATTTTCTGAATTTGTATTCCTATACGCCATGAAAGTTTCCAAAAAGTATTTTTAATCTAACGAGATTTATACTTAATTATGCCTAATTTAACACAGATGCCAAAATGGAAATAGTTTGAATGTATTTCTCACTAGTTCAATCTTTTTTATTTCAGTGTCCCAGGTCAAATCTACCGATCCATCAATAAGTGGGAAGTCGATGTACAATCATTTTCAGCGGAACACGATGTGTATTAAATTGCCGGAACACAAGATGCTATCAATAGCCTGATGTATGAGGTCTTAATTCTACAAATAATCGTGCGCGGATATTTATTAGGATTCATATCACTGGATCGCCGGAATTCAATCAAATTTGCCAATATTAGGCCTATTTCTAATAAAACGAACGATATTACATACTTAAATATAATTAGGCCTAAGCATTAGGCCTATTATATTATATTATATAAAACTAGAATCTTTATATTTTATTTATAAAGTATTACGTTTATATAGTTCTGATGTAATATTTCCGAGTATGTAAGAAATAAAAGCAAATTGTGTAATTAATAATACATCATCGTGTGTACTTCATTTGTCGTAACTGCATTAATAATAATATTATATATTTCATGATTATTAATCAGTATATAATCGAATTAAATATATTATAATCACTTCGAATTCGAATATAGCACTATTACAGGCTACAATATCTTATAAACACTCTTTCCAAATATATTCACGCGATATCAACAAATTTCGAAACTTTTCAGAGAAGGTGCTGTCGAATTTTACAAAACAGGAAATGACGTCGGTTGCTAGGCTACAGCTCATGCATATTCAGTAACACCTGTGCTCATTAGACTAACAATAAAAACTTTTAGCTCAGTTTTGACAAAATCGACCAAAAAGATTTTATTGTTAGTCTAATTAGAACAGGTGTCACTGAATATTCATGATTATGCATGAGCTTGTTGCTTAGCAACCACGTCATTTCCGGTTTTATGTTTTGTTGAGGGCGTCCTCGAAAGAATTGATAGTTTAATAATTAAAGTAGCACATATTGATGAAGATGAATTCTTCACTTTTAGGTTAAGCTTATAATAAGGATATTTTAGCTGTTGAATTTATTGCAGTAAACACCGACATTTAATAACATGAGAAGAGATGCACAATTCCATTTGATATTTATTTTCAAGCATATTGAAATCAAGTTGGGATATATGTATACATTTTATATTTATATACTGTCTATATCATGTGCATCCGGCAAAAATCAATAGACCTAATTTTATTGATTTTATTTTACATGTCTATATTCTTTACAACAAATGGGTAACTTTATTAATAAGATAAACATTAGCAGTAATAATACAATATTAATAAACATACAACTTACAACAATTAATACATATTGCTAACATTATTTTTGCGATTTTGCAGAGGAAAAGATTTAAAAATAAAATTCACACTATATTTTAATTAATTTCATATCCAGAAGCTTGATAAGTGACACAATTTGTGGCTATCTATGAAAAATTGGTAAGTTCTGTTGCCCTTTTAGTCCGGATATTCTTTTCTGATAGGTGGCTTCTTTGTCTACATCACTGGAATAGAAAAATATTGAAAAAAGATTAAGAAACAGAGAAAGAATTATAATGGAGTATGCCAAATGATGGGTTCCCACCACCTCAGCCCTTCCATGGTTGGTTCCTCTAGATGGCCAGAATGGCACTCTCAGATTTTAAATTTGAATTTATTTTTTCCCCCAATTTTTTTTACCATTCTGAAAGATTTAGGTGTGTGGGGTGGGGGGCAGGCCGGCTTTCCACCCCCCCCCCTTAAGTCTGCCACTGAAAGTTAGTGAGCACCCCAACCTTAAAATTATCGTATTCAGTTATCGCAATGGACAATGCTGCTGATGCAACATAATAGTATTTCACAATTCTTATATCAGCATTATCATATTAAATATTATTATTTATAGTATCATCATATTACGGAATGATGTGAGGATTATTAAATACATGGTATTGGTTTGGACTAATAGATCGCAATAGCGCAAACAAACTATGTTAGCATTCCGACTGTCATGGGTAAATACAATTTATAAAAAGTGTACTATTCGATAGAAATGAATATATAGATTCATAAATACAGCATATTCAAACAATAAACATAATACTATAACTATATCTTCATACAAACATTTTTCATGATATAATATTTTTGAGATTGATTGAATTTATTCGATGCTCAACATGCACAAGCAAAATAAGAAATGGATTGAGATAAAGAAAAGTAAAAATTACCGAGCATAAGGAACGCCCATTAGGTCGAAGTCCAGCCCATTTCCAATGAGGTCCAATTTGAATATACGATTGTCTGTCATTAGCTGAAAGATAAACAATGTATTTCACATTTCGACTTTCTTTTAGAAGGGCGCCATGAGCGTTTCCTGTTAAACGGATACCGGCGCTTTATTTCATTATTATTATTATCATTCTTATTCTTATTTATTATTATTATTATTATTATTATTATTATTATTATTATTATTATTAGACCTATTATTATTAGACCTATTATTATTAGACCTATTATTATTACTATCATTAGGCCAATTATTTTTTTTATTAATATTATTATTATTATAGGCCTATACAAAAGGCTCAACTGCTATGTATTTGAAAAGTGGAAGTGTGCAACTGCCCCCCGCATAAATTATTCAAAAATTAATTGAAAAATTGAGGAGAAAAAAAAGGAAATTGTATTCATATTTAAGTCGTTTCCGGTCATCTGGAGCATGGACCATGGAGGTGACATAATCATAAATCCATGTGTAAAAGTCCCCCCTGGATCCCCTCTATTTCGAATTTCTGGATCCGTCACTACAGTAGTAGCTTTATTTGATATCGACATCATGGAAGTACGTCATCCATGAAGATAATAATATCAGTATTGATAAAGACGGTGACATTTGGGCCTACGGTACCTAAATCACTTTCGCTGTCCTTTAAAAATAATATAGAAATTGAATATTTATGTCGAGCTATAACAAATTTTGATTATTCAAGGTTAAAAGTTGTGCACCAGATAATTATAGACCGGGTAATAAATTGCATATACAGTAATGTCAATGAAAAACAGTCACGAATCTACAATGTAAACAACGAACGGAAGTTAACAAGCCCCAAGCTCTAATTACTGTAAATAACGTTTCTAGCCAGTTTCTTTGAAGGTTTTAGCGAGTCACTTGGAATTAGTATTATGTTGTTGAATAGAATGCAGCCATGTCAGTGCATGCTTCTGTCGTGGAAAATGTCATTGCCTTCAATGCGGCTGCCTAACAAACTTAGTCTAAATAATAACCATAGAATGACGACAAAATTGCCATTTAACTAGTGAATTAACAATGCAAAATGTTCAATACTATACTCACATTTTGTTATTAATTGTAAAGTCACATTTGTAGTCTATTGAGTAATGTTTATATGTAGAACGCCACCTGGAGTGGTATAAAAAAAATCATTATTTTTCTAATGCGCCTTAACTTTTTTTTTGCTCTCTTTTGTGGGTTCATCCCACTTTTATTCGTCAATTCAGTAGTACAATTTACAGCATGTATCGCTCATCAACATCAATATTTTACATCATATAAAAATAGAGTTATGGTATAAAAAGATTCCTTTTCATGTACAATTTTAATAATCTGATTTTTGGAAAAAAAAGAATTAAAACCATTTTCTCGTATTTTTCTGTGTTAAAAAAGTGTAAAGAGCGACCTATGGTTCCACTTGTTAAGATTGTTTAAATGCGCCTTTCCTTTATGACGATGAAGATGATGAGGGCGATGATGATGATGATAATAATAATAATAATAATAATAATAATAATAATAATAATAATAATAATAATAATGATAATGATAATAATAATAATAATAATGTGACACAATGGTATTAATGGTCAAGCTGGCCATAATTACAGTAGTTGCAATCAAAATTTATCACCCTTTTAAGAGAGGGACATTCATTTTTGAATACACACAAGTATGTATGTGCTATTTCCCGGCAGAGGAGCCATTTTTTCAACCATTGTGTTGTGTCCGCTCCTTGAGGGGACCGGGTAGTGGCTCTAGGCCTACTGGTTACCAGCATGGGAGCAGATCATAGGGAGACGCAGGCCCGTAGCCAGGTCATTTCAAGGGGGGATTCTCTGGGCGTGGGGTCCAGGGGACTACCTAAGGGCCCCGGTGGGGCCCTTAGGTAGTCCCCTGTATCTTAGTATCTATCTTAGTATCTTACTGAATATTTATTGTCTACCAAATGAAATATGAATTATATATGAATCTTTAGAAATACAATTTCTACAATATTAATCTTGTTTTTATATAGATAAAATGTTCGATAAATACTATCGTTCATAAAACAAACGAAATTCAGCGCGTCTATTTTCATTCCAATCATGGACCTATTAATAAGAATAGGTCCATGTTTCAATCAATGGCGTTTGTAAACATGTGCACTGACGTTTCGTCTAATCCCAGGACATTCGACGGCAATGCTGGCCTGCCTGCCTAGGTCCCAGGCCAACCAATAATAATTAACAAAATGTATTTTTTTTTAAATATAGGCCTATGGCGCGTCCTACTACATGCACTTCAACTTTTACAACAAAAGCCTAGGCCTAGTAGTACTCCATACTGTACTTAAGCCAAGGCCTACACTAGTTTGATTTTGTCGGGGTACAATTCTGTCTCTAAATGCAGCGTGATCACTAGGGAAAATCAAAATTCCCAAGATTGGGTCTAAAAAATCCGAAGATTGCTTTTAAAAACCCAAGATTAGCAAAATATTATTATTGCCTATATACATAAACTTCATTTAAAAGTCCTTCATTTTAAAGCTTTTTCAATGAATTATACTGTACATTATTTTGTACTTTATAGGCCTTAACGAAGTGTCTGGATTTTCGAGACCAGAAACTCGTTCGCTTTGGGTCATACTATTAGAAGGCCTTACTCTGTGCGTCCGTGGAAAATCCTTTTTGGTGACTAAAACGTGATATCATTTCCTCTGGCATTGTATGTTAGGCCAAGAGTTTGAAGTTTGTGCGCAATTTCACCCATTCGATATTAACAAAGTCAGTACTTCACACACATTAGGTCTATGGCCTACAATATTATATAAAAAGGCATAATCGATCTTTACAGAGTGTCTAATTATTCTGTCAATTTTATACCAGGGGCCTACAGTATTGCATAGGAGTATTTAACAATATGAAAAATGGGGAAAACAGTTTCCTTTGAAATTTACTTAGCGAGTGTGTATGAAACCGGGTCTATGGCAACTAAAATTTGATACAACGTCGAGAAGTGTAAAGATACGGACCCTATTAGTAAAAACTGTTGAATTCTAAATGATTACAAGATGACCAAGCATATGAATGAATCAGTCTAAAATGATATTCAAAGATATTATACAGCTAACCGCTAATGTTTGCTTTGCATGTCTATTACACACCAGCACTCACAAATGTATGTAAAAATTGGTCGTAAAATTTGATAAGTTGAAAATTAAAATCTATTGTAAATATTTATTTGAATTCGTACACCGATTTTGTTTCAAATTGTTTGTTTTCAATATTATAGCTGTTTCATTGCCATGACAATGTTTTGAAATCGTACTGTATAACACTCCAAAATTTGTTTTATGGGCAAACAACAGAAGGCTCTGAATTTTTACAAGTTAACCAAGCGTGTTGCTGCATCATTATTGTTCAATTACGATCACTATTCAAACAGAGAGCAGGCTGATAATTTGTTTTTTCCACAGCTATTTAGATGTCGTTGTTGGTAACTTCTTTTTTAAATTGTAAGTGTAAATATTATTTAGTGTATATACTGTAGATAAGAATTGTGGATAAATAATGCGCATAAAATCAATTGTTGATGGAGAACGGCGTCAGTCATCTGAATAATAGTCCCATATTAATAGTACCGATATTTTGAATACTCCTCTTCCGCGAATTGTTTTATTGACAGTGACTCATCTAATTCTTATATAATCACTTTAACATTTTAATCGAAATAGTTCACCATATCGTAAAAGTGTGAATACCCACCCAATTCGTTGGCGATCCTCAGTGTATGTTACGTTAATGAGGCATGTCATATTGTACAACAAGGGAATGTATATTACAATATGCCAGTACGTATTTTTTAGATTTTGACGCACTCCGTTCTGTTGTGTGTGTCTGCTGTTGAAAACAAACTTCGTCACTTTGTGACTCGCTATGAAGACTAAGATGGACCATGTTGATTTGTTAATAATATTTTGTTTGGGATGGAAAAAAAGGAGAGTCAATTCCCCAAAAATGCTCCATCAGCAAATAGTTTAGTGTGAGCTATGGAGAGTATGGCTATGGAATTTACTAACCACACAATCCACAATCATTAAGTCGCAAAACTTTAGCTGCATTTGGTGGATTAAGTCGCAAAACTTTATCTTCGTTTGGTGGCGCCATTAATTTTACTCTAGGTAGACGGAAACCGGTTTTATTACTGGTTGGTACATTTATTACAAACATTCAGCCAAAGGCCAGTGAAAGTTTTTATCGATGTTTGCCATCCTTATGGGAGCTATCGTAAAGTTATGGTTTGCCGGAGTTCTAAATCTCCGAACTTCTGAAGCCAAGATATTCTATAAATGTAGGCTTGTATCGCAGGCTACAATTTAAAAACGGGTGACCAATAAATAATGAATTAGGTGCTAAATTTTGATTTAATGCTGGGTAAGTTAAAAACAGATATTCTTTCCGAGTGGGACTCATTCAAAAATTCGAGGGGGTTCGCTACAAAACAGGGGGTTCGCTAGAAAAGGGGGATTCGCCCGAACCATAAAAACCCCCCCTGGCTACGGGCCTGAGACGGGGGAAACGTACCCCACATATTTTCAAGGGGGTTTTGGTACTCACTTTTCGACCGCAACGTAATTTCATAAGTAAGGTGTCTGAAAGTTGTTGAATTGAACTACATAATTAATGACTCGAGTTTTAAAAAAAGATCGGTGTACAGCCAAAGTACTGTACAGAACCGTACATCTTATAGCAAGATTCCGCTACCTCTGACCACTAACATCTGAATTATCTGTAATACACGAAGTAGGTAAATGAAAGTAAATACATCAAAGACAATTAAGTTTTATTTTCTATGGTACAATACAGAAGTTAATTAGATCTCTAATTGCAGAAAATTTCAGATAAAAGATCATGGTGATCTGATGATGATGAATTTTACTATATAACAGTGTCATTCCGGCCATCTTGAGGTGTTATTCCTCAACCATGATGGGGCTGAGGTGGGTGTGGACTCACGGCTTTGAAGTAAGTAAAGTAAATATATAGTTACCAACCTGGGAGATTTGAAATGCGTGAGTGACTATACCAGTTGGCTGGGGGAAGGGGTCCAAGCGGCAGGGAACCACCCCTCCCCCACCGCTTCGACGATCTGATCATTTTTAAGCAGTTTTAAAACGATTTCTGGGAGTGCTTGTTTGTTGATAATACAGGTACATAAGCAAAAATATTATTAATAAAGCCAATTTGAGTTTCAATGTAGGATTAGGCCTATGTTTAATTTGAGCACCCGAACTATGTAGACCTACACAAAAATTTCATTACTGATCAATTTTTAGTAACTCAAGTGAAATAAGTAGGGCCTTCAAGGAAATACTGTACTCTCTCATGACTCAAGTTACTGCATCACCGTTTTTATAGTTTTAATGTAACAACCAATACAAATTTAATTTTAAATACATTTTCCCTTGAATTTGCGATTGGCTTGTGTTTAATGCGTGACAAATTTAGGATCACGCATGTGTTTCTGCAAAATGCGTGTTTCATCCAAAATCACTTTGAAATGCACCGTCTCGCACGATGCGAGACGGTTGGTAACTATGTAAATACATAAACAATTGTTTTAAGTTTTATTATCTATGATACATCACGTATATTATAGTCATATAATTGCAAATTATAGTCATTCATTTCTATATCTTTCCATCTGGGGCCGCCACTGCCGTTGGTTCTTCTGGTCACAAAAACAAGTAAAACTAACAAATTAGAACACGTTGTTTTTTGCTCTTATTTTATTATATTCAAACATTAGAGAATAACAAATGCTGTTGTACTACAGATGTTCACTTCTCAATTCAGATCTTGCACAACAGAAAAATACTCCTGTATATTTAAGTAGCTTTTTATAATTTACTTTTTAATAATAATGGTGCAATTTTGTAAATATCGGGTGTAATAAACTAAAAGTCAGTCGGCACCAAATATTTACCAAGTATAGAAACATGGAAAATGCATGGCGAAAATGAATATTGGAGTATTGTTTCTAATGAGGTCATTAATGAAAGACAGAAACATAAATATGTTTATCATAAACGATTTTTCCTAGCAAAACATTACCAGTGTCAATAACTCTCAAGATGTATTATTGAGGGCGCTCTTTAACTTTTAGCAATACAGTAGAATCAGTTTAAATACTACTCCATTGACAAGGATTTACCGAATAGCCCCATGATGTGCATATAATATTTGAATGATTGTATTTTGTAATAATTCGGAAACTACAGTACATACGATTACAAGCTACTTCTGAAGACAATGACTGAATCTCATTTACAGAATGAACATTGACACCCTGTAACATTCCCTAAACATAAATGCTACATATAATTATTTTAACATAGACTCAGAATGAATACACATTTCTTCATGTTTAAAAAATATAATAAATTAATAATTATAAACAATATATATTTAAAAATACTAATAATAATTAATAGAAATTGTTAAAGCTAATTAAACTGGCCTTTTGTGAACAATGCATGCGTCTTCATATGTTTATCACATAAATAAGACTATTATAATTCTACTACTACGTATCTCTATTCCCTACCACAATTCACAATCATTTTAGTTTTCAATTTACATTAACTTAAACTGGTTAACACATTCTTCAGAGAGCGCGAATTAAGAAAACCAAAAGGTAAAAATTGAAATGAATTATGATCGAAGTAGCTTCTGTATAAGCTAGTCATAATAAATATATTAATTGTTATGTGGATTTGGAAATAGCCTCATTAAAGACCACCTCTAATTAAAAACCACTTTTCTGTGGTCCTAAGTTTAGATGCATTTTATCTTTATTATTCTAATGAAAGACCAAAGCTCTACCAAAGGGCTATGGAAACACCAGTCCCAAAAGTGGTCCTTATTGGAGGAAGACCTGTAATACCAAAGTATGAAGCCACACAACTTACTGAAAATACAGTAATATCATGAGTTGTCCATGAAAACTGAATAGTAAGAGTCATGGAGGCCTAGTATACAATTTTATACCTCAATGCAAGAAAAACATCTCAATTCAACACCATCACCCCCCCGCCCCCACCATACCCTTTTATGTACACAACATTAATATATACATTGGGTCTAATGATAACGCAAACAAATCCTTGAATGAATTAACTTCTTAGCTTAATAAATCAACTTAAAAAATATAAGAATTAAAATGAATTACCTTGGAATTAAATAACATCTACTCTTTACCGTTCTAAGTATTAACAAACAGATCCACAGCCAGGAATGCCACTGGATGTGCAAAAATGGACCAACCGGAGTATGGGGGACAGCTCAGACCCCTGATGGGGGTCAAGGAGAATAGCTGGATGGATTGCAGCTTCGGTATTTTAGGGCTGCGCTGCTGGAGTTGAGATTACTGGTTACATGTAGATTTAAGATTCCTTTTTAAAAATGTGAACCTTCTCAATTTTGGTGGGCGGGGGGATGTACTGTACACACACTTTATACTCATCTGGATATAGGCTTGACAAATATAATCCCTAATTATAATTAAAAAAAACTGTAAATCAATGTTGTTTAGAAATTGATAACTAATTTAGCATTTCTTGCTGAGAGCACAAGTTGACCCATCCAGCAGCTTTTTAAATAATAATAATTTTTGATATGAATAACATTTATTTTTATTTAATTTAATTATTAAATTATTCATTTATTCACATCAAAGTACATAACTGCCACTATCAGATGCAATAATTCTCTACACACTGAGTCACATAACAAGGCTTAAGGAGTAGAATTAGGCAGTTTTTGCCACATGACAGTCACCTTAACATTAATGGATGATGTCATAATTTATTCATCTTGTGTTGTGGACTACATTAATTTAAGTATTTTCAACCTGCTCAACGTACGTTAGTTACGGGTTTGTGCATGCATATTTCGATTTGCTTACAAAACAGGTGGAGCTATCGCACTGCATGTTGGGTACTAATGTTAAAGTTAAGGTTAACGTCGTGCGGCGAAAAACTACCTATTATTGGGGGGGGGGTGTGACAGGGTTCAAACTTGGATCTTTGGTTTGGGAGTCAAAATCTTAACCACTAAATTGCAATTCCGCTACAATCAATAAAAATAATAGGAAACTTTGATGAAATCATTAAGAAGTAATCAGTACATGCAAGAACATTGAGTTCTCATTATCCAACACCCCAAGTTCTCATTATCATCTGAATTCTAGAATGCATTTGGGCCTGAATCTACAATGTGTAGAGAACATCGGAGGGTCATGGATGACTGAATCCATTCTAGGGTTATGTTGTTGTACAAATCAAAAGCTCCCTAGTAAACGGAATACAACTGTGCTTTATTAAATAATATAGTATGCACACTTTATACTCATCTGGATATAGGCTTGACAAATATAATCCCTAATTATAATTAAAAAAACTGTAAATCAATGTTGTTTAGAAATTGATAACTAATTTAGCATTTCTTGCTGAGAGCACAAGTTGACCCATCCAGCAGCTTTTTAAATAATAATAATTTTTGATATGAATAACATTTATTTTTATTTAATTTAATTATTAAATTATTCATTTATTCACATCAAAGTACATAACTGCCACTATCAGATGCAATAATTCTCTACACACTGAGTCACATAACAAGGCTTAAGGAGTAGAATTAGGCAGTTTTTGCCACACGACAGTCACCTTAACATTAATGGATGATGTCATAATTTATTCATCTTGTGTTGTGGACTACATTAATTTCAGTATTTTCAACCTGCTCAACATACGTTAGTTACGGGTTTGTGCATGCATATTTCGATTTGCTTACAAAACAGGTGGAGCTATCGCACTGCATGTTGGGTACTAATGTTAAAGTTAAGGTTAACGTCGTGCGGCGAAAAACTACCTATTATTGGGGGGGGGGTGTGACAGGGTTCAAACTTGGATCTTTGGTTTGGGAGTCAAAATCTTAACCACTAAATTGCAATTCCGCTACAATCAATAAAAATAATAGGAAACTTTGATGAAATCATTAAGAAGTAATCAGTACATGCAAGAACATTGAGTTCTCATTATCCAACACCCCAAGTTCTCATTATCATCTGAATTCTAGAATGCATTTGGGCCTGAATCTACAATGTGTAGAGAACATCGGAGGGTCATGGATGACTGAATCCATTCTAGGGTTATGTTGTTGTACAAATCAAAAGCTCCCTAGTAAACGGAATACAACTGTGCTTTATTAAATAATATAGTATCATCTGTCTATGATTTCACATATAATAGCATTTTTACACTTATTTCAAACAACAACACATAGATACAGTATATTACAAACATTCCAACTATTATCTTCTTTAACGTCAAAAACTTGTTTTATTTTTTCTGTTCAAGTCTGGAATGCCTTCCCTTCCCACCTTTTTTTAATGTTCTTGATCGCTTTCTAACATCACCTGCAGTAGCAGTCTCATCAATGAACAGTTGAGGCTCATCACTTTCATACTCATCATAAACTGTTCTTATTGAATATGGCTGGCTTCGTTGCGACTGATTTACCACCTGTGCAGACTTCTGCAAAAGCATGTACGCCATAGGAGTTGATGTTTCAGGAGTTGGCCTTAATGGAGGATGAACTAGACTGCTGCTAGCACCTTGACTAGCATGGGCAATGCAGGAAGCATCAGCACTAGTTTGCCTGCTAATACTTGAAATGGACATATCTAAAGGCTCTTCGGGTTTCTTTTTACAGCTGAGATCAATCGGTTGGTCTGGGTCTGAAGTCTGCAAAGTCGTATTATACAGCCTAGAGAGTTGTATAGATTGCATTTGAACCTGCTTTGAGTAGGGGTTGTAAGCTCTAGGACCTGGCATCGGTTGAGCTTGACTTGGAGTATTAGAGATTACATGAGTGTTTTTGAATACTGGAAATTCTCCACCTCTTCTCATAGGTTCCCGAACAATCATAGGTGGAAAACCTCTGATGGGCTGCAGAGGTGGTGTGTATTTGGATCCGTGGATGGTGGATGAGTTCGGGACAACTTGGTATGGTTGCTGGATCAGAACTGCGCCTGGTTGGTGAGTTGGTGGATCAGTAATTATAAACGTAGGTGTTGCGCCCTTGTGGACGTGATGTTGACCTTGAGGAGGGTATACGTGGTGAATTAATTGTGAGGGATTCGGAATGCTACCAAGCTGGTGAGGAACATTTAATGCTATATGTGGCAACACATTACTACTATGGGTGACTGTAGTAGAAAGGGGTGGATTTGATAAAATTAATGGTCTTGTGGAGTCAGGATGAGGAGGAAACTGGGAAACCACATGAGACCCTTGGGGAATAACATTAGGTACTTGTGCAACAATATGTGGCCCATTAGTGACAAAATGATGTCCTTGTCCTACAGCATGAGGTACCTGGGTAACCTGGGAAACCATGTGTGGTACCTGGGAAACAATATGGGCATCGCGTGATACAATATTAGGTACCTGGGAGCCCACACGAGGTACAGCATCTGTTACTTTGTAAGAAGGGTGAAGAGAATGAGAATATACAAAGCTGGTTGGTGTCACAAATGATGTTCTGGGAACTTTTTTCGACACATCAGACAGCATGAAAGGATTATTGCCAGATCTCATGGAACTTAAGTTGACAGAGTCAGACCCAGGAACTGATAATGCCCCCTTATAGTACACATCCTCCCTGGGCCCCCGTCGAGTAGAATGTACATTGTCCTGCCTAATTCTTTGTTGTCTATACGTCAGTGATTGTGGTTTTATTGATTCTTGTACAGTTGATGCTATAGTCAATCTTGGTGAAGTACTGCTGGCACGAGAGATTGGTACATCTAAATGAGCATGCTTTGTAGGTATCTCATGCTCAAAACTACTTGTTGACTTCGGTCGTTTCTTAGTTTCTTGTGGATAAACAATAACTGATACCCTTCGATTCTCAGTATCTGTTGCCTCAAGAGGGCCTGCTCTGTTTGTCAGTGAAGATGAACTTCTATCCCCAGGGTTTACCTCTAAAGAGCTTGTAGATGCAGGGAAATCTAAATTAGCATCTTTTGCAGGATTGGAACTTGCTACTACAGTTCGAGAATAATCTAATTTTGGTGAAATTGAGTCTCTTTGTTGTCTACATTCTTCAGTTTGCTTCAGCTTTAGAGCTGTCAACAACTGAGGCTGAGGATCTCCTAAAGACAGCAATGCTTGTGCTGTTGACAAGGTGGACTGTGGTTGTGATGTAGAGTTAGTTGTCATACTGGTAGCAATATTTGGTGTCTCTCTGACATCTAAACGGTTTTCATCTGAGGTATATTCAGTTGTTTTATAAGATGGTCTGACATCTTCTACTTGATCGTCACCCTGCATGACTTTTGAGACTAGTGTGCCGATACTTACAGTATCGACTGCAGTTTTAATCAAATTATCAGTCCCTGATTTTGACAACGAGTCCTCCATTGATTTGTCAAAATCTGTTCTATATTCAACAGGGATTTTTCTCTTTTTTGGAATAATCAGATCTTTTTTAGTATTACCTTGTTTGGATATTGAAGAAACTGCCTGCTCTTCACTAAGTGGATCTTTCCCTGTTTTTTGTTTCTTATTTATTTCTTCAGCACAAATATAATTTTCTCTTCCTGAAGGTGACTTTCGTTTTCTTGTTTCATTTGCTACATTGTCTTTTGAATAACTTGATTCACCTCGCTCTGTAGTATCAAGCAGTTTTGGTGATCCCTCATTTGATAATTCTAATACAGCATTGTTTGTTTCAGAAATTCTATCACAATTTGGTGTGCTGTCTTCAGATGTTTTTACAGATACAATTGTTGTCGACACTTGTTGATCATCATGTGCTCCTAATCCTATAGTTGTGGTCTCTGATGATGATGAGATGTCCATATTATTTGTTGTATCACAAGGATTAGTTGATTCTACATCAACTTCTTGCTGTGTAACAACTATCTCTGGTATTACTCCAAAATTTAATGATGTGCTTTGTTTTAAGCCGTCAACATTATCAATACTTGATGCATCACTGCAAGCATTCACTGATATTTCTCCATCTGCACTGATACATTCTGAAGAAGGTAAATCTTGCCTCCCACACTGCAAATTAGACACTGTTCCTGATTTTGATACATCATCAATTTCATTTTGTTTTGGAATTAAGGTCTGAGTAATTCCTTCTCTCTCTGATGGAACTGTTTCATTAGATACTGATTTCTCTCCTTCATGTAAAACTACATCATCATCAACATCGAGTGAAACTGCCTGTATATCAACAGGATTCAAAGATGATGTATTCTTTAAGTCATCACTTAATGTCTGTTTTTCATTTGTTGAAACTTGTTCATCCAGACATTCTGCAATCTGTGTTTCATCAGCAAGTGATTGTTCAGGAACACAGTGGTCCTTGTTAGTTGGACACGCATCTTCACTCCTTTGCTCATTTGAATTATCAGAGAGTTGTATAGGTATGTCAGAAGATAAAACTGAATCCTCAACTTCTGTTTGTAAAACAGGATTGCAGAATCCTTCCTTTTCTTTAGAGGTGTCCTCAACACAACTTTTCTGTACTTCATTAGAAATATCACATTTGTCAACATCATATACAACTTTGTCAGTTTCATCAGTATTAACAGTAGATTTCTCTGCAATAGAAACTTTCTTATCACAAAATTGAGGAAAATGTTCATCAGGAGTTAGATTACCTGAACCTCCAGCTATTTGTCCAGTTTCTTCTGATTCAACAGGGAGAAGAATCTTTGTTTTGCTAGTAATATGCTTCCGTAATTTTTCCTGAATTTCTTGATGCCTGGATGACACATTACCAGACATTTCCTCATTTTCAATTGGAGATGTAATATCTGATACGTTTTCATATTGTACTCCTTTATTCAATTTTGAAGATTCAAGATCAATGGTATTGGGTTCTAGATCAGTTTTATGAATGACAATGTCTTCCTTGACATCAATAACAAAAGAGGTGCAATGGTTTTCAATCTCAGATCTGTGGCCACCAGAAGGCACCACCACTTTTTCTTTACAAGATGACAGTTTTTCATCTGGAGTCATGACATTCTCTGTTTTATCTGAAATTACCTTGTCTATGCCGTCATTGTTCTTTTCCTCAGTCTCTAACCTTGTGTCAGGCTGTAAACAATCAACTTCATTTTTTGAAATTTTCTTACAATCTTTTTCTTCATCTTTCTCTAGACTAGAAATATCAGTAACAGAATTACTTTTTGAATCTGATAAACATGAAGATATGCTTTTCTCATTGTTCTGTTCAACAGTGCTATTTTTCGTTTCAGAGTAAATGTTTGAAGCTTCTGCTTTGAAAGCAGAAGTTTCAACTTTTGAAGGTTCTTCACTTTTACATAACATATCTGAATGGTCCAGGTTATCTCTATATATTTCAGAGTTTTTTTCAGTAATATTCAAACTTGTTTTACTATCAATTTCTTGTGTCTCTTCAGATTTTATTTCATCAAGTTTGTCCAAGTTATCTACTTCTGTTAAAAGCCCATCAGCATGGTTTCCTTCTTTGCAATCAACTTTGGATATAATCTCCTCATTTACAAGTTCTTTTAGTAAAGCAGAATTTGCTTCCATTTTCGATGCACCAGATAAATCTTCAGTTGCAGAGGTAGGAATTGATAGAATTTTCTCGTTAGCTTTTGATTCTGGTGATTCTAGATCTCCATCAGTATTACAGATCGCTTTCTTAGCAGTAGGTTCCTCTGATGGATCGCTAGAGTTTACACTACCAGGCTTGTCAGCATCTTGGGACACAATATTGGTTGATTGAATTTCTACACAATTCTTCTCCATTTCATGCTCATTTTTTTTCGAAATAACAGGAAAAAATTTAGAATTTGATTTAGAAAGAATTGCAGCAGCAGTATGTCCAACAGCATTTAATAGTTCCAAAGGTCCATGTGGTTCCTTGAGTAAAACAGTTACTGGTATTGATTTGGAAGCTTTAAGAGCTGATGTCACTTGACTTACAACTGCAGATATAGTTTCTTTGGATGCAGTGGCATACTCAGTGTATCCCATAACAGGAGATTGTTGGATAGGTTTGCTAGAGCTTTGTGGTTTTGGTGGAGCTCTCAGGAGATGTGCAATTTGATCCTGGCTGATATGAGATGTTGATGGTGCAACACTGGAAGATACTGACTTTGCTGGTTTTAGAACAATCTGTGTGTTTGGTGGTGTTAAAATATGGGTTGCAACTGCTGAATGGGAGTTCGATGAAGACTTTGTTGTTACACTACTATTTTGCTTTGTAAAAGGGTTGAAGACCTTTTCACTGGGACTGATGATCGTTAATGGCCAGCCACTCCTCTGAGACTGTGAGGTAACTTTTGGTTGTGCAGGTGGTCTTATATTAACAGATGGTCTTGAGGTTGAAGTTGGTGATCGAGGGCGGTAATCCTTCCCATGTAACAAATTAGAAATCTGTAGGATATATAAATGTAGTTATCTATAGTATTTGGATTTAAAAATTGGGGAAAATTTCCATCTCTTGTTCATATTATAAATATGTATGAATATGTACACATACACCCTACTTAGTGATACACTAGCTTGATCTCAAAGTCAGAAAGACAACCTTAATGTAATGTAAAAGTATTACTGTACATTTAAATAAATGAATGGATAAGTAAACCATTTGAAAGTTATATATTATTATCTACATTTATATATTGTGTATATAGTTTGTTGCTATTATCAATATTGTTATTTAACTGATATGATAAAATTGAAAATAAATGCTGCTAATAACTGCAGCTGAAAAACATAATACTGAATTCGGGAATGAACATGAAAAATAACATTTCTAGTGGGTAAAGAAAACGAAAGAAATTTAAAAAAAAATAGCATATAACTTACAACTTTATTTGTGGTAATCATAGCAGCGGACTCTCTGTGTGAGTTCCTCATACTCATGTCGGCCCCAGATTGCATCAATCTACGCACAATCTCTGTATAGCCACGCCCACTAGCAATGTGCAGAGCAGTGTTTCCAGAGTAGGACTGACAATTGATGTCAGGCCCAGCTATTAACAAAATTTCAATAATTTCTTCAACATCTCTTGCAGTAGCATGAAAAAGTGCTGTCCAGCCATTTTTTGTATCCTAAAGAAAATAATTTCATTATGAATATATATTTCATTAAACTCCAAGAGGGTGTTAAAACAAACCATTTTTACTTTTGGATTTAATCATAAATGTTCAATTAAACCATGATTTACCAAATCAACTTTACTTCTTTCTGCTACAACAAATAAAGAACAAAGCAAAATGCTATTATAAAAAATAAAAAAAACACAAGTAATTTTATTGATCAAATCAAGATAATTTTCAAGATCAAAGGCGAAACATTTTTTATCTAAGTCTGAGGATTGCTAATCCAGATTCACCAGTTTGACGCAGAACCAATCTCTGTCCACATCAAATTTTCTGTGACAAAAATTAGTGATTTGTGCATCTATGAATATTATGATGTCACATACCACATCCATATAAGGGCAAATCAGAGGTATTAGTCACATAAAATTTAGTGTTTTGACAAAGGTTAGGTCGACACCAGTATTTGTCAGAATTTGAAACGATCTTCTTACCTTACAGTCAATGTAGTTTGGAGTGCTACGTACAAGCATCCTGACAATCTCAGCATCTCCATGTATGACTGCCAAATGCAGAGGTATGTATCCTAAAATACAATTTGTAAAAATCAGTTAACACGTTGGTGTGGGGAGGGGGCACCATTCAAACATATACCAACCCATGCAAAAGGCAGACGAGATAAATCGCAATGCTAATATTTCAAAAAAGTATGTTTGTACACAGAAACTTGTTTTGGCACACAGAAAGGAACCTTAAAAAATGGTCTGGCAGTCAACGTGTTAAGAATACAGATAAAGAGATTACAGTACATTAGGAATAAAAATAGAAGGAGGCAGCTGGAAAGGAGGAGGAAGGCATACACAAAGTGCGGAAGGACAAGACATAAGAAAACAGAGATAAGTTGATTATTAAAATAATAATAAATAGGCAATTAGCAATTCATGCATATCCACAACTGGATTAGGCAGGCACCAAACACTGTGAAGTAAGGGCAGAGGAAAGGATGGCAGGTAGATGACTTACAGACTTACAAACTTGAAAATACTATCACTAAAGCCGAACTTTGACTGCTTAGTATGACAGTCCAACTCCACCCTTGTGAGCGCTATATGACGTGAAACTGTCCGTTGATTGTCAGTGTCAGTCTGAATGAATCATCATTAAAAACTATCCCTTATGCATGCATCCTGGCATTGCGTTCTGTATAGAATGCTGTCAGTCGTTGTGAGTGCCCGGCTTAAAGGTAACGCTGTTGGCGGTAATGTCCCACGCTGCAATGTCATGGTAGATAGTCAGTAATTTTCCTTTGCACTCACCTTCAAAATTTTTCACGTTAAGTTGAGGTGTACAACTACTCTGCAGTAAGACATACATGATTGGAGCACACTTGTGTATGCATGCAAGATGCATAGATGTGTTACCATGACGATCACAGATATTTGGATCAGCCCCAGCTTGGATGAGGTCACCAACCAAATCTGGTTGCTTAGTGATGATTGCTAGGTGGAGCGGTGTCTAAAAAGTTTTTTTAAATATATAAATCAAACAAAAACTAAAACAAACATCAGTTCATTTGATTTTTATAAGTTAAAAAGCCTGTTTTCCAGTAGGCGCATTTATTCGTGCCAAAGGACATCACAGGGTTGTATCCAGATATGTCCAAAAGGGAGGGGGGGGGGAAGGGCGAAATTGGAGCCGATTAAGAAATTTTTGTTTTCTAGACACCCAAAAGCTCTGATTGGTAGTTGGTGGTGCATTTTTTTGCTTCGCAAAAAGTAAAAAGAGTTTGAACTACTGATTTCGCTGAAGTGAAAAACTCCAATAGAAATGTGAATGTGCATGCGCATGAACAGACGTTTTTGATTCACCTAGTGGAAAAGAGGCTAAAGACTTCCTTCCATTGGAGTACCTTCCTTCCATTTTAGTACCTTTGTGTCTAATTGGGTAGTGCACCAGGAGGTAATCCACACTTTTCCGTAGAGAGTACTGTGTTTAACATGCACAAAGACGATTTCACACAGGACCAACGGCTCATTAAAGCGCATCAAAAAGACAGTGCACTATTTAAACTTGCATTTCAATCCTCCAGCTACAGTGATCCCAAGGAGATCTGTTTAAACAAGCATCCAATTTTGTTTTGCTGCTTATGGGAATACCAATCGACACCGAGTTCCGTGAGACAAATACGTAATAATAAAGGGGTAAAACCTTGAATTGAAGCCCAGTGGGCTTAATCTCGAGTTGAAGTCCATCTCAAAATTGAAGCCCTCTCTTTAGTTTGCAAAATTAGCGTCGAAAAGAAGCCTATGAACTTCTTTTCAAGATAGCATAGGCTTCTTTTCGAGATAGTACAGTACATACACTGTACGTGAATTTCAGAAAACAAAGTAAATTGAATACAGTTTATACAATAGTTTAGGGGATTTAATACCAGTTAAATACACTCCATGATACAGACAGTTACAGTGGCCTTTCTTTATTGCTTTATAGTACAAATTCACAACATTTACAGCATTCATTTTGAAAAGAACCCCCCCCCCAAAAAAAACCCCTTTGCTTTGCAGAAGTAGTCTTGAAAAGAAGCCTATCCAACGTTCGCAAACAAAAGAAGCCCAGGTCTTCATTTCAAGGTTTTACAGTACAGTAGTAAAAACATGCACATTTAATGATTTTGTGGGAGATGGGGTGTTGCGGGAGGCCATCCCAATTTCCGGCAGACTCCCACAACTTGGGGGTGCCGAAACACTAGAAGAACAGCAGATCAAGTTGAATCAGAGACCAATGCTATGTAAAAGATTTCCATGTTTCAGCACCTAATATTGACTACTACCAGTTTCATGGCAGATTTAGGATTTATGTCAGGTAGGACCTAAGTGGTTTGACAGCTATTTAATATACATAGCATATAATACTTAGTAATGAAATGACTGTTTATGCTCCGAGGAGGGGAGGTACAGTAGGAAGGGGTGGTGGGGCATGTCATTACATACCTGATGAAGGTTATTAATGGGATCCACAGATTGGCCAGCCATTGATATCAGGTATAACAACTGATGCACCATATTTACTTCACACTGAGAGACAGCAATATGCAATGGTCTGCAAAATAAAAACAAATATGAAAAAAAATAACATTAATATAATGAAGCATAAACAAAGTGTTTAAAAGTGTTATTTGGTCATAACATGTGTTATTTGTTGATAATATGGTGGCTGATGAAACAATTACAATGCTGAATATGTAATTACTGGAAGTATGCCTATTACATTATATTTAATCATTTGGCATCACTGTCCGGGAGAGCCAAAAGCAGGAAACAGACTGTTGCCGGAAGGACTTGCGACACCCTGATCACATGATATTTGTTATAAAATTATTTTAAAATTACAGGGTGTTACATTTTATATTGGTTCAAGAATTTCAATGATTTTTCAAAGGTGAAGATCATACCATTAAAATAGCTTTTTTATATTTTTCTTTTAAAAACGGCTTTAAAAAAAACTGGACAATTTTGGGCCATTAAGCTATTCTCAGATGGTCTTGAACCCAATTGCCCAAATGTCTTCTTTTCTCAAAAGTATTCCTTTGTTTTTTTTGGTCAACAAGATTCTCTGTCCACACAGATCAAATTGTATGTGACAAATAACTGTGGTATGCCCATATTTGGATGTAATATGACATCATCATGCCCATATATGGGCACAGCACACAAATTTGTCACATAGTGTGTACAAAGCTTTAGGAAGCAGAGCTAGTATAGTATGGGAATTTATTCCAGGAAACAATCAAAGAAAAGTATGAACATAAAATGTTCTATAAATATACAAGAGCAAGTACAGGCATGCGCAGCCAGAGTGGCAGAATTTTCCAATTGCCCTGTCTAACCTGAGCATGACTTTAAAGCTTAGGTAAGGCGAGATGTTTTTATTCCTTGTTTAGCGAACTTATTTTCTTAAAGATCGTAAGGGGAGGGCAGGAAAAAAAATCTTTTAAGGAAAATGATTTTGACAAAACCATCTAGGTGAACAAGAGAATAAACATTAATTTCATTTAAATTATTAGTAATGAGATTGATAAATGCTTAAAATTTACATAAGGAAGAAATTTTGGATTTTTGGAGATTTCAGGGGAGAGCGGAGGACGTAATTCAATTAAATATAAAAGATTTTTTTTTTTTAATGAAATTTAAATTTTTTTTTAGGTGAATGGTGTGCTAACTGGCCAAATACAAAAGTTAATTTTTATTCAAAAATCACCATTTTTGGCGGTCGGAGGTTTCTCTAAACAAGGTATAAAAAAGTCTCGCCTAAATAGCCAAAGTGGAAGCGGCTTGGTGCAGTGGAAATGGTTTGGTTTCCTGCCCCTTACTGTGCATTTCACTTGTGTCTATGAGCAAGGCACAAAATAAAATTTTGTTTTCTTATGGAGCAAATAGTTTTGCCAAAAACACCCACACGGAGGAGAAAATAAAAATTAAATTTTATTGGTGAATGTAAAATGGGATGATTAAATGCTTCAATTAGGAAGAAATATACACATCTTAGCTTTGAGGATCTTAAGGCAGTGGAGGGCATACTAAAAATAAAGAAAAACTTTTATTTTTCTTCTGAAATTTCCATTTTTTTGTGTGCTAATTAGCCAAAAATAAAATTTTATTTTTATTTGAAATCATCAATATTTGCGTTCGGCGGGTTCGCTAACCCTGGTATAAAACAAAGTCTCGTCTAAGCTCCAGCTCTGTATGAACCCTGTGGCAAATTCCGGAAAGCGCGAGACATTGGAAATTCTGCAACACCCCCACCCCCCAGGGTTATGTGGCTCGATTTTTGGGCTGACTCCTTCTTGTACTTTCACAGGTCTTTTGGAAATCCAAATTTTAAAATTAAAACACATTATTTTACTGCAGTTTAGTACAGTTAAGGTTTGCACACTTACCAAGAAGTTACTAGCCTATATATAGGCAGTTAAATGTTAAAGCAATCAAAGAGGTTAGTAGAAGTGAGGTCCCATGCAGGTATTTTTCTCTACTTCTATTAACTGTTTTAACAGAACCCTTATGAATATTTAAGCCAAAATATTATGGGAAATATATAAGATAAGATCAAGAAAATTTAAAATAAGTACAAAATTCTATGGCATACATTTCTAGATCACGGTTCTCAGTCTTTGAACATACTACAGTTAAATTTGCCGAATCGTCGAGTCGAAACTAAAAATCCATTGAAATATTGTCCGACTTAGATAAAATTTGACTTACAGATTGTTAAATAATGGAATACACAACAATTTGCCATTTAAAATTAAGATCGACTTAGAAATTATTCGACTTAGGCAAAGTCGACTTAGGCAAGTTTAACTGTATTTATTTTTAAAAATTTCAATGGGCCTGACCCAGCACCCCTACCCCCTCCCCTTGGAACCACCTAAGCAGATATACCTATGTTATACTATAGATTAAAACATATTTGTTTTGTACATTGCTTGTGTTGTCAACTGTTATAATAAATCCAATGAATCGATGAACACCTAAGAGAATTGTTTGTTATTCACTAGCTTTCACTCCCTGGATGAGCCAACAATATTATCTCACTATCGCATTGTTCACAATTGTGTTTGCATTGCCAACACTTCCTGTACTAGCGGCACTCAAGACATCTCCAAATATCCATACACTATAAAAAAAGTGGATTTCTAAAATATCTTCCCTGATAATGAGTAACCATAAATGACAAATCAAATCAAAATTTAAATTTAAATCAAATGACAAATTTAAGATTAGTTCGAACATGATACCACTAGGTGGAAATGGTATGTTATTATATTTATGTTTATTCATGATAATTTTATATTTATTCATAAAGTTATGCATATTCAAATAACATTATACTCTCATCATTCCTGATGACCTCCATTTAATTTCTCATTAGATTTGTATTTATGAAACCCAACACTTGAAGCCTACGAACATGAGCGTGGTTGCTGCATTTCATGAAACTACGGTTTGCCCAAGCATAAGATTAAAGCCTGGTTCTCACAAGAGCCCTAGTATCCGGATCGGGAGCTAACCGTTAGCGCTAACTGTTAGCACCTGCGTGAGAACGCCCGATCGGTACCGCTAAGGGTTAGCAAGCGCTATCGGTTAGCAAGTTGAGTGCATTTTTATCATCAACCAATCACATGTACGCATTTACAATTTCAAGTTTCTTATTGGCCAGTGATTCGATCATATTTTTGGTGTCCGGATCGGGATTTTCTCGTATGGACGCACGGCAGCAGGATCTGGCAGGATCTGGATCCTGCTAACCGTTAGCAGCCGTGTGAGAACATAGCCATTATGACGATATTCCATAAAGTGCACTAGAATATTTCAATACCAAATGAATAATTAAAATAATTTTAATGTAATTAAACTACTCTATAATGCTCAAATAAAAATAATTAAAAACAATTTTCATTCCTTTTAATATCTTTCCATTATTAAATACTGTATGTTTGGCTGCCAATTTCAAGTCCTAAAAATAAAAATGTAGAGTCCCTGGCAAATGCTTTGAATGGTACAAGATTAAATGACAAACAAAAGAAAGTTTCTGCCTTTTTGCACAGCAAACTGTTTACATCTATCGCTGATTATGACTTTTGTTCACTTTGTTAGTGTTGAGTTAAATATAGAAGATTTTCATAAAGCTTCCTACCTTTCTTAAGTCTCAATTTCTGAATTTGATATGAACTAGCTATCAATTCTAAAGAGGATAACTAAATTCAATCACCTTTAAACAAACACTTAATTTCTTGCGCGGTAGTGTTAATTTTGAGAGGATATTTTAAACAAAATCTGCGGGGCATTTGGTTTTAGAGGTAATTGAGCAACCCTATTTCTATAAGAGATGACCTGAAATGTTCTATCTTTAAAAAGGACTAATTAAAAATATATTTTGGAAAAATTTATTTCATTATTTCAATATTTATTGGTCACTGGATCTATAATTTGGCAAACTGGCACAAAGTGCAACCCCACTCACTCGGTGGAGAGTATACTAGACGTGCTGTCAAATTTAATGCACACTAATACGTTCAATGCCGCATCATCCTACCAGGTACCCATTTCTATTCCTGGGTGGAGAGGGACAAACATAAGTGCCTTGCCCAAGGACACAATAGCGAAATTCAGAGAAAGGTTAAAACCTTCAACCTCAAGGTTAGAGACACTGAAACGAAATGCTTCGTGCACTGCGCCAGCCGCCCCCACAATTCATTAGTATTAGGTCTACGTTTAATGATATCAATAAATATTGACGTTAAATTGTTAAGCCCTGTCCAAACTATCAAATGTGACTAAATATGGTCATGATGACATCACATCTGTAATATCTATTATAAAGATTATCGGTCCAGCGCCCTCTCTAGTTGCTAGGGGCTACCAAGATGGCTACGGTCCATCATGTACACGGCGAAATACAACCTTGTTATTAAAATCAGCTTTATACATTATCTAGTGTTCATCGTTGTTATTTCATGGTCTCAAAGCAGGCTTAAACATTACAACATCATGACCATTTTTAGGCACATTATGACTATATATGGGGATACTCACGTGTCTCCATCCTCATCAGGAGCTGTTGCTTGCTGAATTTCACCAGCAACTAACAAACTGTAGAATGGACTGGAGGCATCTACTGCAAAACCAAAACACAAATTATGCAAATTAATAACATTCAAAACATTCAATGACACAAGAAAATACATACACAAAGACAGAAATTTGTTAGCAACCCGACAGGATAAACAAAAAGTGAAGCAAATCACTGTTCAGTGGTTCTCCAAGGTTGAAATACTGTAATATAAAATTAAAGTCTACAGATTTACACTACAGTAGAATACCCATTTCCCCAGTGAAGTATAGATAATTAAAGTCTGCAAGAAATTAACAAGATAAAACTTAACATCAGCTTAAAAACAGAGCAGAGCACTCAAAAATCCATGGCCTGAACTAAAGGGTCAGACATAAGGACCTTGAAAACACGACCCTACTTTGAAGGAACCACATCGGGTTTAACCAGGGAAACTACTGTATTCTGTAAATCCGGTCTAGAAAAAAATAAACACTTTTATTTACAATAATGATGAAATAGCAAAAGAAAAAAAAAACAACTTTAGGGAAATTTATGCCAAAAGCAAATTAGGGGATTTCCAGTACACATACTCTGACTTTAATTCAGCCAGTCAATTCACAGAAATTTTCAGATCATGTTTCTAAACAAATGTTAAAAAAAGGACAGACAAACCTGATTGCCTTAACTTCTTTAAAAACTGTGCAGACATGGTAATTTTAGTATATTCCTCCTAAAACATGGATGAGAGTAAGCTACAGCCTGTTGCAGCATTCGATAAGGGCTACTCCTGGTGAACTGTGGATTGCAATGCCTGTGAAGCACAACTTGTCCCATAAACAAGGTACTTTGTCAGACTTGGTACAATTTGATTTCAACTTTTACTTCCTTGTTGTGTTCTTTTACACCAATCACAAGGATATGCTTTAAGATTTCCAGCTATCGTTGGCACTGAGCCAAAAAATGCTCAGTGGCCAATAAATGATTTCATTGTTTATTGTTCTATCCCATTTCCTAAACATGGCTAGCTCTTTAAAACCACATTCCCATAGGAATAATTATTTACAATTAGTATCCATGTGCACTGTTAAATCCTATACAGTGTGTGTGGGGATGATGGTATTGAAAATGACTTTTTTTATTAACAAAAACAAGATTATATAAACAACAATGCGAAATGTTAAGCTCACTTTTGAGTATTTAAAGGCAGTATAAACTTTGAAAAAATAAAACCTTTTAAACATGTATATGTATTAATACCAATAACAACACATTATGGTGACCTGGATATTGTTGCTCAATGAGGGGTTGACCTATTTATAGGCTCAGTGGAGTGTAAAAATTGTGTAAAATAAAACGGTGCATTGTCAGTTATTTTTAATTCTCTCTGCTAACAATAATTTGTCACATGATTATTCTGATAACCTTTGCTTGAGCAATTGTAAACAAGATAGTTAACATGCAATTGACTGCAATTTTAGTAGATGCTCTGTTGGTTCTATTGTTATCAATTTATACAAAGTGTTTTTAGCATTTGGAACTATTGGTTCTTATACTGTAAAGCAATAAGGACCTTTGCAATCATTCACGCATTATATGCGTCCTTACGTCTGTCTTGAATTTTTCAAACACCTGTTGGTTATGAATTACTGCATACATGTAGTATTGGTCATGTAATTGTGCCCTATTGCTTGAAAAAAACTTTCAAATAAATATTAAAGCAATACACGAGAACTTTATTACCCCCTCCACCAGTGGCGTATCCAAGGGGAGGGGCGCACACTCCCACCCACAAAAAGCTTGTACCCCCCCCCAGTCGCTCCCCCATTCGAAAACATTGAAGCAAAAAAAATTAAGCTAGGCTTGTGCTCAAGAAAATGGGTTAATGCTTTCTCAACTTCCCTTTATTGAAAATAAACATGGATGAGTTTGTGGACAAGTTAGCTTCAGTTCACAAAAATAGAAAAATTAAGTTATTTTAAGAGCTTTCAACAAGATCTATAGAACAGAGACATTGTGTTAATTGTTCAATTATATATTATGTATAACCATATTATGTATTTATTTGTCCTTCATTTCACAGTAACTAATAATAATAATAATAATAATAATAATAATAATAATAATAATCAATATTTATAAAAATGGTCACTAAAATGATCGCTGTCACACATAATAAAAAGCACACACATAAATTATTCTAAAACTGTTGGTACGATTCGATGCCTCGAAAGGTCTAGCATAGTAATTTTCCTGGTGCCTGCAGAATTGTTGATGTAAGCCTATTTAAAATAAAACTATCTATTGTTAAAACAATCCGGTAATTTTAATTAAGGCAAGAAATCGTAATCGACAATAAAAGTTTCATTTTGTTTATTATGGTATTACTGCCTTCAAGAGATATACTTTAACATATCTGTCACGGTTAACGTGTATTCAGGAATCTAAGAAGCAATATTTTTCAGTGGGCGTGGTCACCGAAAATAAATTCCACTCCCCCTCATACTTTGGTCATGCCCCCCCCCCCCCCACCAGCCCCCCCTCCATTTTAATACTGCTAGATATGCCACTGCCCTCCACCCGGGGGTGGGGGACTCACTTTAAAATATTTCTATACGGGAAGTTGCAGCATTTACATGGTGTGGGAAATATTGGGGGCGTTGCAGCATTTATGGGGTATACTTTCGAGGACTTTGTAGCACAAGTGTGGGAAATACCCGAGGTGAAATTGATAGTTAAAGTCACTGGAATGTCCTGTCTCAAAGTGACACGATTTTCCTCATGATGTTAGCGGGAATTTCAAGCTAAACTGGGTGCTAAGCCGGTAAGCCCTTTGCTAAGCCTACCTTTGGTACAGCCACGAGATCGCACCTCTCTGAATTAAGAATTTTAAAAATATATATTTTCGGCTCTCATCAGCCCTGGCAGATGTCTGGTATAGCTGTGAGGCAGATGTAAAAGCAACAATACATAAATACACATAAAAATTGTAGCAGGCCTCTCTTATTACAAACTATAACCCAGCAGAGACTTTGGAATAAAAGGTCAAATGTAAAATATATTGACTGGCAGACAGGAAGATTTATTGGGGACATCTCTGAGATATATCTTGATCTAGATACTGTAAATTGCACATGCAGTAGAAAGAGACATCATCGGGACCAAAAATCAAAATCATTTTGTACCGTCTTTGGGTTGAAGGTTGGCCACCATGGTTCTCCATCTTTCACGATTTTCAGCTTTTCTTTTTTGCATCTGTACAGGCTGTTACTTCACCCCACTTTTTGATGTCACCACTTCACTGTCTCTTTGCCTCCATCTTGATCATGCTGCCTTACCACTGCCACGTAGTATATCTCATCTTCTGTTGCATAACATTCCCCAGCAAACTCCTTTCAGTTTCCGCTCTATGTAAAACCTCTAGATCTGTAATTCTTTCCTTCCAACTAATACTAAAGCATCATTCGGAAGCCAAAATAGTGCCCCCCTTTAAGGCCAACTCAGACAGCGTCGGCCGACGCAGCTCGACCCGATTTATCGTCGGGGACAGTCTTGAGCCATCGTGAGAAATATTAAACATGTTTAATATTCTACGACGCGACTGCCCCCGATGCGACAACAAATCGTGTCGGGCTGCGTCGTAGGACGCTGTCTGAGTTGGCCTTAATAGGGGTGTGACCAATTTTTAGGGGTGTCCCGAAGGTGGGGTTCTATTGTACTTGGGGAAAAAGATGAAGAATGCTTATTTCTAACCGAGTACAACAACTATGGTATACAGTAATGTAAATTAAAATATTTTTTTAAAATTCTTTAATAATCATAATAATCCACCTATTATATAGACTAGATAAAGGCAATAGAATTTGCATTTCAGATATACAGCTCATAATTGTGAAACCAACCGATCAATCATTCTGCTGTTAACAACAATATTTTGATATGTTATAACAATGGAGATAGTCGCTAGGTTTCTATTATAAGGGGATTCCCCTTTTTGATTTGTTTGTCACGTGAGTAAAATAAATTTCATTATCAGTTACCAACAATGTTGACAATAGCTTGCTAAATATTTCTTCAAACTAGAAAAAAAAAATTAAACTAAAAAGTATGAAATTTATTACCTAACATGCAAGTTTCAATCTTTAGTTTAAGGACCCCAATTTCTAATCTACATGAAAACTAGTCTTTAACCTATTTAAACCGCTGTTGTAAAATGTTTTATACCCTAATCCTCTTTTGTTGTCGTAACTACAGTAAGGTTTTCAAAGCAGCATAATCCTTTAAAAGCTACTCTTAACCAAATTCAGGATGGTGTCTAATACCTATTTTATGGAACACAAACTTTTTTGTTCCTTTATATTGTGCATAATACTTTTTTTTTTTATTTAAAACTTTTTTATCCAGGATACAGTACATTTTCAGGCTGATGTGAATACTGTAGCTGTTTTTCAAAATGGTCCTGCACAATAATTACAATAAAAGTAAGTACAAAAAGACTGTCCACACAAAATACAACGGTTATACAAAAAAATATAAAAGAATTTAAACTCTGCAATGAACATTTCTTTCAAATTTGCTGCCTTTCAGCAACTGCAAGTGCACTGTCTCGTGATGGTAAAGCATAACCGGTACTGGTACTTAGGGGCGGATTTGGAGGGGGGCCCCAGCCCGGTAACAGTCCACCCTTTCAGGAGATAAAAAAAAAAGAAAAAGAGAAAGAAAAGGAAAAAAATGATAGCCCAGAACGCCTCAAATGTTATTTTTGGACGTCTAGAACACAAAAATTTCACGAGGGCATGCCCGAGACCCCTTGGGGCAGTGTTGTCTCGATGCCCAACTTTCGCTCTCCCCTTTTGGACAATCTCTGGATCCGCCCCTGGTGCTTGATGCGGCTCTTCCGTTAGACTATAAAAGCACACTTTATTTGCCTGGTCATTGGGTCTCTATGCTTTAAGTCTTGCTGCTGGTAATCAGCACAGGAGCAACCAAGCCCACTAGGTACCCATTTATATTCTTGGTTGGAGAGAAGTAATGCAGATAAAGTGCCTTGCACAAGGGCACAAGTGAGATGTACAGCGAGAGATTGAAACCCTGACACCAAACTTTTATTTGTTAGGGATTGGTACTGGTAGGGGCTATTTAATTTTTAAAATGTCTAGGCCCTAAAATCGAAGAACCAAGAAAACAAATTGAACTTGGTACATATATCACCCCAATATTTATACTGTGAGAAATACTGGTCATGAATCCTATTTGGAGAATTATATATTAAGATCGATGTTATTATATACTATTGTAGGAATAATAATATAGTGTGGTGGGTACTAATGTGGGTGGGGCAGGGTTGCTGGTGACATTACGTTCAGAAAATAAGACAATCAAACAATGTGGAACTATTTATTGACAAATTGCTTTCACAATTTAACAGTTAACTTCCTGTAAATTGTACAGTACTTACAGTAGGGTAATCCAAGCAGAAATGTCAAAGGTCACATGATATTATTAGAGTAACGGTAGCTGATCTTGTCCCGGTGTATTGAGTAAATTAACTTCCTGTCAGTGTCAAGCAATCATGTGCATGTATGTGTATCAGCATTGTGTTGCTCAGGACTTCCGACTTTCAGAAAGCATGCTAAGGTATTTTGGTTTTATAAAACTTATTTTTTATATATTTTTACTCAGAAGCATGTCTAACCCATTGTGTGCTTTTATATTCAATGCTGTGTTCAATTGTAAAATTAAAAAAATATATAATATATTGAACCAAAAATACAAGCTATTTTCAGAAGATATATTACATTTCCTATAGCAATTTGTGAAAATTATAAGTATTTTAAACTTCTGGTTATTTAGTATAGTTTTGTTCCATAAAATAACACCACAATACAGAGTATGTCACTTGATTGTGTGATAATTTTTTCTTTGAGCAAAAGCCCTCACTGAGTCACAGTCAAATAACAAAATTAATGATTTATGAAAACCATTCACAATACTGTACATGGTGAAGATCCTCTAACCCTTGACTCAAATGACTGAATATGAATCTAATAAAAGGAATTAATAATCAACTTATTCTCAGCCAAATGTGGGTTAAATTGCCAATTATTATTATAGATAATTTCAGTTATTAAGAAAAACAGTGTAGATTATGTTTGTAATTATGAGAAAAAAAATCTGATATGTACATATATAGTGAGTGAAACAAAGAATCTAGGGATACAAATAATTAGTATAATAATAATTTAAGAATTATGACCACCTTGACCATCAAAAAATAATTGTCCAAAAAGGGAGGCTCTTTGTCTATGGAATAAGAAATACTGTAAAGAAATTAGCAAAGGAACATCGTTACAATATAAATAACAAATTATATACATATTAGGATAATCAGCTGAATTATATTTTATGGAACCATGGGGCAATGGGACACTTCTTTCACCCACTGTTATTTCAACTATCGACAGTGACAATACAGTAGGCCTAATAAAATATATTTCAGAATTATTTCCAAGATCATGTGTCCATTGCTTGTGTCTAGTATTCTGAAATATAAAAATTGGAATTGCTCAGCAACTGAAGTTACTGCAATATTATACAATATTAATATTATTATTATTATTACAATATTATTATATTATGCAATATTATATTTTATAACAAACATCCTGTTCGTTAGAAAATTGAATTTCAAGGCAAAATAATTTTAAATATTACTTAAACACTACTCATCCATTTCAATGATTTATTAACAATTCTATTTCATTTTTTTAAAGTATAGTATTAAGTAAATTAGAAAAACACATCTTTATAGATTTTTTAAGTTTTAGTTTTCAGTTTTCAGTTTTTCATATGGACGTACCTGAATTAATACTGGTATTAGCATCAGACGATAAGGGTGTCGTGCTGTAACCAGTTGGCGCATTTTGCGAGTCTTTAACTCCAGGTTTTGCACTAATATGATCTGAAGTAGTAACAGTTACTGAATATTGAATCGGTTCTGGTACCTCGCTAATTGAAACTGATGTGTCATTTGAAGTTGATGGAACCTGCTGGACTTGAGCCAAAGGTGTGTCTGATCCTTCTTTCTTGGCTGATGAATTAGTGCTAGGCCTACTACTATTATTACTAGACTTAGACGTAGGCTTTTTAGTTTTGCTCGCAACAACGACAGGTCTACCATCAGAAGGTTCACTTTCTACAACACGCTTTGCTTCGGGTGTTTGACAAATTTTCTCTTCTTGAGCCTGAGGGTGTGCCGTTTGATTAGACAACTTCTGTCCACCATTTTTTCGCTTTTGTCGTCTCGGTCTTGAAGGAGCAGACATCGTTGCATTAGTTTTGTTTTAAATAAATATCAATCTGTCATAATAAACATTGTAGTGTAGCCCTTTTTATAGCAAAATTGTCTACCTTGTTGGGTTTGCACGACGCAGTTCATTTCTTTCTGGATATTCGAATCGATGCCAAATGTAGGTTAGTAGTAGAACTACACAACCACCAAACAAACATGGCGATCGTCACCCGTGCTTTAGTTCTCTTCACTCGAAACAGTATTTTGCCGCAAAATAGCCTGTAAATTCACCGAAATTTATTATTTTCGACATATGTATATGTACTTTAACAAAATATATAAATCATTAGTAGAAATCCAGAATATAATATGCTAGATTTAGCCATTTATCGCACGAAATAAAAAGGCAAATCGTTCGATTTAGTAAATGCAGGCTGGTACTTTCCCTCCAAGGCGACAGCATTCATTGGTTATGCTGATAAAGGGGATTTTTGCTATGCGACTCTTGTTGGTTCGGGAATTCCCCGTCGTTGATAGGCTACCTCGCAAGGAATGTCATGGCCCCTCATGGATGAAAAAGATCAACTCCACTAAAATTTGATTGCCTATAATTTTCGATACAGCCTAAAACGGTTATCAGACTCCAAAATATTAGCGTTACATTATATGTTATTTATTACCTACTAGCATAAATGCCAAAAAAAGTGAATCGTGTACGTAAAAAGGTAACAGGAAAGTCGAACTCATTTGGAATTAATATTATGCAAATATTCGTGATCGCTAAAACTCTGCGTGGCATTTATATGAAGCGCCAAAAAGGCATTAACAAATACTGTAGTAACGACGGCGCGCCGACGGTTCCATTTAATACAAAGATTACATCAAATACAAATACACTATACTGTACGATAAAATACATTAAAATAGTAAATCTTAAAAACATTATTGAAATACATTTTTAAAAAAACATGGTAAGTAAACATTATATAAAAACATCATACATTAGTGGCGGATTTAGAGGGTGGGGTAGGGGGGCGTCATAGAGTTCATAGGGCGTAACGGTCTTACGCCCCCTCTATTTTTGGTAAAAACTTTTGTTTGTAAAGCTTATCAGAAAATTACCAAGGTAAATATTAAAAAACAATCAAATACTAACTTAAATAAATGATCGTGCTAGAGGTTAAACGGGAATTTGACCCCGTGCACCGCAACCAGGGCTCTTCCCTGAGACTCCTATACATTTTTAAATTCTTTCAGTCTCTCTAGTTTATTTGTACCATTTTTTTTCGTGATTTTTTTTTTTTTTTTTGTTCTTCATGCAGAATAAGCTATAGCTAGATTAGTTACCAGTATTGCAGAGCACCTGTGATTACTGTTCCAGATGGCCATGTGTCTCAAATTGCTGGAGAACGGTGCAATTCGTTCGTTTCTTTGGTAAATTGGTTTTGATTAGTTTGAAGTTGTTTTCTTTTCTCTTTTTCGTAATCTCTTTAAACGCTCTGAGGCGATTTCTAATTGTGTAATCCATTTCCATTTTCAAAATGTCCACAATGATAAATGTGGGATGCGTCGCGCGGCTGCCCCAGCGTTGAGTGGTGAAGCACAATAGATACAATATAGAACACATGATTCTTTCTTTGGATAATCTGAAGCTCTATGCCTTTCACCAATTTTTTATTAGTACTGTAATTTATTTTTATTCGTATATTCTGTGTAAAAGAATAGGCCAATTATTGTTAATTTTATTTTTTAAGGATTTACGTCGCCTATGTGTGGCTGAGTGCCACTGATATAAAAGTGTATAGCAGTTAAATTATTATTTATTAAATGGTCCCAATAAAGATCACCGGCACAGGATCGCAGGGTGTTTGAATTTGGCTTTTAGAGGCCCAGAAAAGTGTAAAATGTATACGTTATTGACTAAAATGACAGGGTATCTGAGTGATCATCAGTTTGTTACGGAATTCGATCCTATATCTCGGCAAAGTGAAATTTACTGTTTCTGGAGAATATATTGATAGTGTATTCGTAGGTGTACTTATGACGTAATATAAAAAATAAGTGTGACATAAAAAAAAAAGAATAAACACGGACTAAGCTCCTTGGATTGGCACTTCGAGCCCACTTGAACGTACCCTTGTTCGCCCCTCTGTGTTAATAATATTAATAAATAATAAGTAATAAGTTTATTTATAAGAGATTTTCATTTATAGTTTATGATGTTTAAAACTGTCCGTTCTTTTCCTTTGTTTTTGTTTGGGAACTATCTGATTTCTTTATACCGTTTGGTGTTGCTCTTTGCCTTATTAAATGGTTTTCTTTTTGATGTACACTTTTCCTGTAATTCCTTGTTTTTCACTGTTAATGATTAGACCTACTTAGCATGAAAGAAAAACAAACAAACAAACTGTAGTTGATTAAGCCGAGAGGCAAACAGTAGAAGAATAGCGCATATTCACCACACATCTAAAAACTAACAATCTCTGACTTTACTATTCGTCATCATCATCATCGTCGTCATCATATCATTTCTGTATCCTCGTAGTCATTGTTAATTTAACATTACTAAAATGATGAATATATAATTATAGTTTCCCATGGAGCTACATTATGATTATTATCATGTTATGTAATCTGTAGCTCTCTGGTTGCAAATCTAGACTCATGAATTAAATATTCATAGCCTATTTTAGTATTTAAATTTATTATAATATTAGCATTTATCAGCATTAATTTTTATATCGGATTACACAATTCATAAAATAAAATAAAATCGCATTGTCCCTGGTTTGGCAACAATAATATTAAAAGTACCGGTATTCTGTATCGAAACGTTTTGCTTTGTTTTTTCGTTTTTTTGTTTTTTTTATTTTCAATATTTTCCAAACCCGCAAACATTATAGAATGAAAGCATAGGAATGACATAACTATAATAACCTTTGACACGAACTCCTCAAGATGGCGTCTTTTCGTATAATGGTCGGTGTAAAGCGTGTTATAGATTATGCCGTTAAGGTAGGTAATTGGTCCTAAATTGAATTTAACATGTTAACTTGTTGGTTGAGAACATCAATATGTTCATTTTAAATGCTATGCAATAATGCAAATGTACTTCAAAAAGGATCAAAATTGTTTCGGCTAGGCTAGGCCACACGACGTAAGTGGGACGATTTTTGTTGTTCAGCAGGCAGACTCGACTGAAGCCCTATCTACCCGCATATTTGTCTATCAATTAATCCTATGCCTAGGTCTACCCTAGTCTATCCAGCCAAGAAGTTGCTACCCATGTTTTGCTATTAATTTATTTATACGTAGGCTACCTTAGTTATCCTTTTTACTGTGAACTCTTCTTATAATATATCAATATTTTTTTCATGGCAGTGTGTGTGTTGGGTAGCTAAGCTAGTATAGTTGTATGAATAAGATATTTGAATGCTGTTACATCAGTCTTCTATATTCTTTATTGGATTTTATTGTATGTATGGAATAATTAAAATGGTTTAAGCGTGGAGGTTTTAAGGCCGGTAGTGTCACAATTAGCCTCTGCCATATATCATACATAAATATTATCTTCATATATTGTTTTATGTTATGTAAAATTGCCAACAATAATTTAATTATTTAAATTTACGAATATCTTCAGTTGGATGGACCACTGTCACAAAAAAAAAAAAATTAAATAATGATGAATAACTTATGCAGGTATCAGGGAACAGTGGCAGCACCAGCGGGGGAGGGGGGCAGGGGGCTTAAGCCTCCCATCGGCCAAAGCTCGTCGGGCAGTCGGACCAAAAAAAAAAAAAAAAAGAATAGGCTATCCATCCCAGCCTTTTCCGGCCATCTAGAAGTCACAATTTTTTTAAAATCTCGTTTTGGGAAGGGGGGACAACCCCTCCCATACCCACCCCTAACTCGAGTCTGCGCGCTAATTGTCACACCCATAAGTACTTAGGGCGCCCCCAGTCGGACATCTTAGCGCCACCCCCCCCCCCCTAAATTATATCCTAGAGCTGCCACTGCCAGGGAACAGGGACCAAAAAAAAAAAATAAATAAATTATATCCTAGAGCTGCTACTGCCAGGGAACAGTGAAATTACAACTGTTCACTGGTAGTACAATTGTGATGTGATTTTCTAAAAACTTAAAATGTTGGTGAATTTTTCAGATAAGAGTAAAACCAGATAAGATGGGTGTGGTGACAGAAGGTGTAAAGCACAGTATGAACCCCTTTGATGAAATTGCCATTGAAGAGGCTGTCAGATTGAAGGAGAAAAAGATGGCCAAAGAGATTATTGCAGTAAGCTGTGGACCAAAGCAGTGTCAAGTTAGTCATTTGTGCTCATTTTTTCTCATAATATTTTTTAAAATAATGTACTGTACACCTGCCAACTCTCATGCATAATACGCAAGTCTTGCAGATGAGCATCCACTTTTTATGTCTCGCACATATGTTACATTATCTCATGCATCATAAAAATGCATATAAAAATATAATGTATATAGGCTGTTTATACCCTAAAATTCATAAAAATGAAGTGAATCTGTCATTAAATTTTGAGTACAGGCTACATAAATTTTTTTTTAACGAAGCTATACTGATTGCAGACTGTAATCCATAGCAGTTCCACTACAGTTTCTAAAAAATAACAGAGGGCGCTCTATTTTGCCATTATTACTTAAAGGGTGCTATATACAAATTTTATTTTGTTTCATCTTGTCGTTGATGTTTATTTGTAATACATTTTTCCTTCTGTCAATATTATAATACTGCAGGAAACAATAAGGACAGCCCTAGCAATGGGGGCAGATCGGGGGATACATGTTGAGATGAGCGCAGATGAGTTTGAAGCCTCTAATCCTCTCCAGATATCAAAGATCCTAGCAAAACTAGCTAAGGAGGAAGATATCAATTTAATCATCTTAGGAAAACAGGTAAAACTAATGAACAGCCTGGCAACCAGGGGGTTGTTGACTCCCTAAGTTGTTTGTTCTCAAATAATCATACCTACAGTAATTACTGGTTTCTTTGGTGTATTCATTTTATTTACTATATAGTAAATTGTCAAAAAACATATTGGTTTTAAGTAAGGAAGGGAAACCCCCTTTTTGACTTGTTAATCTACATCTTTTTTGATAATTTTCTTGTAGGCCATTGATGGTGATTACAACCAGACAGGTCAGATGACCGCCGCCCAACTTGATTGGCCTCAAGGCACATTTGCTTCAGAAGTAACGCCAGAGAATGATAAGCTGAAGGTGGTCCGAGAAGTTGACGGCGGACTGGAGACAATTCATATAGCCACGCCAGCCGTGGTCACCGCAGATCTACGTTTGAATGAACCCAGATATGCAACTCTTCCAAACATTATGGTTAGTTAGTTGAGTTACAATTTTTTTGAATGAAAAGTGTAAAATATAAGTAATAGAAATATCGTATTTATTCAAATAAATGTCCCATGGAATTTGTTGTTGAGAAAGGTTTTTATTTGAGGGAGGCTTATATGTATTTTAGGTGTAAAATGGATATACAGTATACTCAAATAAACGCCCCTTAATTTCACTGTAAATGTGGAACTACAACACATAATGACAATGTGCTATTAAGACTTAAGACTTATTGATCCCAGGTTAGAAAAAATGGAATTCTACAGGAGTAGAACATTAATAGAATGTTTTGAGAATTATGTTGCTTCCATTAGATTTGTTTACTGTCATTTTGTGGGGGTGGGGGTTGTTTATTCAAGGGAGGAGTTCATGCCAAATGAGACTCTAGAAGGGGCGTTTATTCGAGGTGGCCATTTATTTGAATAAATATGTTATGCCCACGTAAGCAAAACTTAACATCACTTATAGTTCTATTTATATAGTTTTATTATTTAAGTCTGTCCCACTGTCTTCTCTTTATGACATTTTCTTGAATTGTCCACCGATATTAAATCATGGTTTACTTACAGAAAGCTAAGAAGAAACCAATTGCTACAAAAACGCCTGCAGATCTTGGAGTTGATATCACCCCTTCTGTTGAAACCCTAAGTGTTGAAGACCCACCAGTACGGGATGCAGGACAGAAGGTTGAAAATGTGGATGAATTAATCTCTAAACTAAAGGAATCTGGTGTAATTTAACCACAAATATTTCAAGGTATGACCAACTTTTCAACATTTGATGTTTTCCTTTTCAAACCAAATTGGCAAAAAACTTTTGTGAAAATAGATTTCTAAACTGTGATCCTCCATTGTCTAGCTTTTGTTCCTGATGGCTCAATATCATTAGGCATTTCAGTTCCTGCAATGAATTTTTCCTTGATCCTATTTTTCCTATTAAAACTATTATTCAAGCCTGCTATTATTATTAATATTAACTGTCATTTTTTTGTATTTATTTATTTATAAACGATTTTAAATGATTAGGCAATATTTAAAATAATAAATTATTAAACTATATTTTCTTATTGCTTTTTATAATCATTTATTATTTTGTTAACTATTCTAATTGCGTACATATATGCTTATTAAATTATCTCACAATATTCATTTGCTTTTGTGGCAATTCATTTTTTTAAATTGTTAAAATTATCGTTTTTTGTTTTTTTTTGTTTATCTACAGGCTATCACCTGTCATGAGAGTTTGGATGTTATCATCTCAACAAGACTTAATAGGCAACAATGCAATCATTATTAAAGGAATGCGTGTTTTGTGAAATGCACAATAGAAGCATATTGAGTTAATACTGAATGTTACTACTAAGGAATAGTTGATTTCTAACAGTTTAGAGTAACACAAGCTTGCATTGTGTTACTCTAAACTGTTAAGAGTAACACAAGCTTGCATTGAAAATTAACTTTGATCCACAAAAAAATATTAAAAGCTATATAATGTAAAAAAATAAATCAGGAATTGAATAAATAATTATACTTTACCCTAATATGGTCTTGTTATTACTGCATTATTGGTGTGTATTTGATTAGTAATTTCATTGAATATTGGATATTTCATTCATCATGTTTATAATCAAATATATACAGATTTAAACAAGAAATGTGGTGGGCCTTGAAATGAAGCCAAATGTGTAACAAACACATTTTGTTTTCTCTATTTGTTTATATTTAACATTCAGAAAATGTTATGAACAATATCATATCGTAGATAGCAAAAAAAAATGGCAAATTTAGCATGGCTTCCATACAATAATCGCTAAATGCTATCGCTGACAGCATTCGGTGATATTGATTGGTCGGTTGAATCGGGGAGCCTTTATATACACAGAATTTCTGCCACACTACAAGTATATATACAGTTTTAGTTGTGGATAAAAGGGGAAAATTGAGCATCATATAGTATGACTAGCTATTGGCTGTGCTATGTTAGGATAAGCATAAACCCTGTTGCCTAGGGTGTGCAGGGAATATTCCCCGAGAAAGTGTTTTGTTGGTAGTTGGTAGATGTCTACTGGAATATATGCTTTTCCAGTACTTCAAGATAACCTGTCTGTCTTAAGCTAAAAAATGAATCAAACTTTTTATTAATTTGCATCAGTTTTTAGTGGTATTTTTTATACAGACTCAATTAGCTGTTAAACCATTTACAGATTTATCTTTGGTAATTACTATAAAAAAAATAGGGGTCTTTTAGTGTCTAACTTATTTTTTTAATATTTTAAATAGGATTTTGCTGTAAACGATATACTGTACCCACAGAGAAAATATTTTCTCTATGCTGTACCTTAAGCATTATAACCATGGATAAATTAAATTACCCGTAACTTAACTGTATACCGTACATATGAGAGCAAAGAAATAGTCTTGCTCAAAACTTTCCTCAGAAATCTGGGCATATGTTGAAGTTTCCAGACGGATCTTTTAGATTTTCAGGTGACACAGAGAAGAGTAAACTCATTCCTTCCATAAAGTGTGAAGAATGATGGCAATGGAATAGCCACCAACCCGGATTAGTTGTGCGAAAACGAATGACTGCATATCCTCCAGACGGAATGACTAGAGTGTTTTTCATTGGTGGGTTTCGTAAATTTAATTTAGGAGTCGTTCCATTGCTCCAGTGGGTCTGACAACAGTCCCTTGTCAGGCAGTCTACATCATCGTTTGGAGACTCCATCTGTCCAGATGTTTTGTTATACGAGGGAAACCCCATCTTCACTACAGCAAATGAATAGCCATGCAGATGAAATGGGTGATGTGACTGGGACCAGGGTTTAAAACTGTAGTCAGTGACAACCAGTTGAACTGTCACATTGTATGGAAGGTTGATGATATTGGTGCACATGCAGTAGTTGTCTTTGTTGCATGCGTTCTCGTCACATTTATCATAATTCCTAGAATCATACGGGTAAAATGGCGCCCTTGGATTTTCGAATACTCTGCAGTTGATCGACGAGCCGACGTTGAAGCCGACATTTAAGAACATTTCCTCGTCTGTATGACGATTCAACAAATCAGAAAGTTGTTCGTCTGTTTTTGCTTTCAAATCGGCAACACTAAAACACTCTGTATTCTCGTGCACAGGGTAACCTCCAAATGGGCAATTCAACACCTTACATTTACGTTTGCTTGTCTTGCAGTTTTCTTTGATTGAAGTTGGAGAGCCAGAGCTACTATTCCCGTATCTAATGATTGCTCTTACTTCGTTTTCATCTTTGATCCCTCCCTGTCCTTTTTTCCAACGCAGTGTCTCTGCTCGCAGCCAGTAATTTGGCAGGCGACAGCCACAGGATCTCTTTGTCTGGCGCAATAGCAAAACGTCGTAAGACTCTCCAGGGTAGACGATAATTGATTGGAAGTTAGAAGGCGTGACGTCAAAACCATCAGAAGCTACCACCATCAAACGATGGCAATCGATTGATATCCTGAATGCAAATTCTCCTCCAGTATTTATGATATGGAACTTAAAATCATCTTCAGAAACTCTAAACACTGTCAACGGAGCATTGTTTTTAAACCTTCCCTTACCATTGATAAGGGCTGATACGTATTTCAATGCATTCAATTCCATCCCATCATGAGAGTAATCGCGCTGGGATGCTTCTATGACGACTTCCCCAACCCCTTTCCAGCCTTGACGGTATGGGCTTTGTATATCATAGGCGATGTAATCTTCATGAAACCAATTTGCCACCATTATTACTCGTGATGGCGTGCTCGGGGGCTGCTTGTGGATAACAATTGCTCCGTAACATCCATCTGCCAATTGGGTTGTAACGTGACCGTGGTACCAATGTGTTCCAGCAGGTTCAGCAGTGAACTCATAGAGAAAACTTTGCCGGGGCAGTATCGGACATTGTGTGATATAAGCTGATCCGTCGGCCCAAACGTTGTTTGTCATATAAAGCCCGTGCCAGTGGATGGACAACACCTCTGACGTCATCAAATTGGTGACTCTAACCACAACCTGTAAGAACGATGTATAAGTAGTAGAGTATCCAACACTTCAAAATGTTTGTTACGGTTATCTGTAGGTCTATTTGAGTTTTGATGACAACCTACCTTGGCTCCTTCCATGACTTCCAGTGTCGGCCCTGGAAATTCATTATTTATAACAATTATTCGACGAACCACACCGTCTCCAGATATGACGTCATCCGGCTGTACGAGAGATCCATTCGGAGTAGAGCCAGATGTATACCTGAAAAAACAGATAAGGTACGGTACTACTGTATCATGTGAACCATACAAAAGATTGTAATTGTGAGACCATTAAAACATGATTTTTTGAGGATGTTTTCGGAGTCGGTTACTCAACTCCAGCAGACCTTTCCGCTATTATTACACTTTTTTTTATAAGAACACATTTTATAAGAACACTGAGGCTGAAATTGCTTGAAAATTAAGAACAAATTAAGAACAAAATAAGAACAAATTGAGGCTGAGGTAAAATGTCAAATGACATTTTTGTTCTTAAAAACTAGAAAAACCAAAAAATGATGTCTGTACTTTATGTGCATTAGGTGTGACTATGTAATTCTGTCTATAATACAGTATAGTAGGTGTACCTACCGGTACCTATCATTTGGGGCCCTTTTTACCGGGGCCTTTTTTCTGGGGGAATTTTTTCAGGAGCCCTTTTTTCAGAGGCAATTTTTCCAGGCCCCACGTTTACTTACATTATTCTAGTACAGTGTATACTGGTACAATAATAATTTTCTATGTTTGAAAACCGCGTAAGATAAGAACAAAATAAGAACATTTTGAGCCTGAAGTCAGCCAAAAAATAAGAACACTGCTGAGCCTGGGCAAAATTGTAATGATTCTTATTAAAAAACAAAAGTGTAGCCCCGCTCCTTTACTGGTCCCACAAAACGACAGTGTTAAAACATCCACGCATTTTCTGTCTCCAAATGCCGTACCAAAACGGGTGGCGTCAGCGGGGGTGGTGACCGGGGGACAGGGCCCTCCGTCGGGGAGAAAAAGCACAATTCGTCGGGGAGAAAAAATATTATATGTATTTTTTACATATTATTAGACTTCGATTAAATAAGCCTTTGAAACCCCTAAATTGTCGAAATTTTTGGGGCTTCGCTCTCAGGACCACTTTCGGAACCTTTTAATCGAAGCTCGACCACGCCCACTTTGCTTTCGTCGGGGAAATCTGACACCTCGTCGGGGGCCCGGCCCGCCCCCCGGTCGGTGACCTCCCCTGCCGTCGGTGAGCTCCCCCCCCCGTTGGGCAAATCCTGGCGCCACCCCTGCAGACGTGTGCTTATTAGACACTTTCTGATTGTTAAGTCTGATTCCGGAAAGTCCATAGCTTTGTGCGACTCGATGTGAGCAGTCTGTGTTAAAAAAAATATAAGCTACTCTATTGGCTGCGTGGTAAAATGTCTTGATACATCTTTTATATTTAGTCTATTCAGATTTATTGTTTATATGCAATACCCTGTCATGGCCGGCGGAAGCGGGGGGGGGGGAGAAATATATAATGTCTGGCCAAAAATATATAATGTTTGGAGATTTTTGTATGATCGGAAATGCAAAAAAAGAAGGAGGAGAAGGATGGGAAAGAGAATGTTTATCCAGTACCCGACCGAGTTACATTTTCTCGCAATTCATATTGTCAAATCTGGGGGAGGGGGGACATTGGTCCTGACCCCTCCCTTGGGCAACAAAAAAAGGGCAAAAAGAAAAGAATTCTAGACCTGCCTTTAAAGGACCCGTGAGCTGATTTTTTTTAATATTTTTTTTTTGGCTATTAGAAAATTCGAATTTTGAAGAATTTAAAATTCATTAAAACACACTTCAAATGTCGGGAAAGCTCAATTCCCGCCATCTAGGAATCAAAATTTTCCCGGGGGAGAACCCCCGGACCACCCTTTCTTTTTGGGATTTATCGATTCATGGAAAAAAGAATACGCATGCAACTACTCATTTGTTTATGTATGTATACACACATAAAATAAAAAATTAGAAAAATTTACCTGACCTATTTCAAGAGGGGAAAACCTTTAATTTTGAAGAGCTTTAAAAGTCATTAAAAGACATTTCAGAAGTCAGGAAAGCTCATCTCCCGCCATCTAGAAATTTTTCCGGGGGAACCCAGACCCCCTTTATCTTTGGAGTTATTGATTAATTGAATCATTTTCAAGGGGGGGTGGGGACCTTGAATTTTGAAGAATTTAAAAGTCATTAAAAGACACCACAGAAGTCGGGAAAGCTCATTTCCCGCTACCTAGGAATCAAATTTTTCCCGGGGAAGAACCACAAGACCTCCCCCACCCTTTCTTTTTGGGATTTATCGATTCATGGAAAAACTACGTATGCAACTTACTCAATCTTTTTTGATGTATGTATACACACATAAGGCCTATTTACTGTAATAACAACGGGAAAAATTATCTGACCGTTTTCAAGAGTGGAAAACCTTGAATTTTGAAGAACTTAATTACTTTTAAGTTCTTCAAAATTCAAGGTGTTCCCCTCTTGAAAATTATTATAATGAATCAATGAACCCAGAGAAAAGGAGGTTCGAGTTCTTCCCGGGAAAATGTTGATTTCTAAATGGTGGACAATGAGATTTCCCGACTTCTGAAGTATTTTTTAATGACTTTAATTTAAAAGACACATCAGAAGTCGGGAAAGCTCATTTCCCGCCTTCTAAGAATCAAAATTTTCCTGGGGAAAGCCCCCGGACCCTCCTTTCTTTTTGGGATTCATCTCATGGAAAAAATCGTATGCAACTACTCAATTTTTTTTTAAATGTATGTATACACACATAACAGGCCTATTTACTGTAATGAGAATTTACCTTACCGTTTTCATGAGGGGGAAAACCTCGAATTTTGAAGAACAAAGTCATTAGACACCTAGCTCAAAAGTCTAGAAAGGTCATTTCCCGCCATCTAGAAATCAAAATTTTCCCAGGGGAGGAACGTTGACCCCACCACCTAGATTTGATTCCAGATTTGCATGATTCATATTCCCATTCATCTTATAAGCAGTGGCGTAACAGGCGGGGGGGGGGCAGGGGGCAGACTGTCCCCCCCCCCTGACGGTTTTTACCGGGCTGACCAAGCCGTCGTACCGGGCTGGGTAAGAAGAGAGGAGAGGGAGGGAAAGAGAAAGAAGGGGAAAGAAAAAGAAAGGGAAAAGGAAAAGAAAAAGAGAAGAGAAAAATAATGGCAAGAATAAAAAGGAAGATATAATGAACAGATATCACAATACCCCGGCCTGCAACCCCTTCTCCACTTCAAAAAGTATCCATATCGCATTTGATCTAAGCCGCCAGGTATTCTCCGCAGTTGCGTAACCACCGGGGGACAAGGGGAAAATATCCATCTGTGGAAAATCTTTCCCCATTGAATGCCCTTTTCACCCGGGAAAGTGCTGAAAATCTCAAATTTTAAATCAGAATTTAAAAAACAAAAACAAAACTTTTTCGCGCACTTCGCGCGCATTTTTTAATGTTAAAAGCTTGTGCTTGCTCTCCTTTGCCTTCTAAGTTATTTAACAACATAGTCCCAAACTCAAGAAAGAAAATTTAAGATAGATCGTTTTACCTAAAAGAAGGGCCTCAATGTGTAATGATGTTGAAAGTATGTTTGTAATAAATAAAGCCATAAGGAAAATGCTTATATTCAGTTTAAAAAAACGAGTGTGGCCATATATAACATAAGAGCATTTCTTGTTGAGGTAGGTCAATTTCCTCTAAAAATTTCACATTTTAGGGAGTTTTGATCAATTCCGACGAAATTAGAATTAAAAAAACAAAAAAAATTCGCGCATTTGTTAGGGTTAAAGCTTGTGCATGCTCTCCTTTGCCTTCTAAGTTATAACACATAGTCCCAAACTTTAGAAAGAAAATTTAAGATAGATCGTTTTACCTAAAAGAAGGGCCTCAATGTGTAATTATTTTGAAAGAATATGTTTGTAATAAATAAAGCCATAAGGAAAATGCTTATATTCTGTTTAAAAAAACCAGTGTGGTCATATATAACATTAGAGCATTTCATGTTTAGGTAGGCCAATTTCCTATAAAATTGCACATTTAGGGAGTTTTGATCAATTCCGACGAAATTAGAATTAAAAACACAAAAAATTTTCGCGCATTTGTTAGGGTTAAAGCTTGTGCTTGCCCTCCTTCGCCTTCTAAGTTATTTAAAAACATAATAGTCCCAAACTTGAGAAAAGAAAATTTAAGATAGATCGTTGTACCTAAAAGAAGGGCCTCAATGTGAAAACCCCTGTTACACGCCTGCTTATAAGTGCCCCCCCCCCCCCACACTTTGAAAAACGTTCCGCCGGCCCTAACTGTTATTCTCAACTCATGGGTAAAGTAGATTGGTAAAGATAAACGACAATAGAGATGCTTTCCCAACAACAAAACATCTGAGCAACCTCGAATTTATCGGTACAACATAAATACATTTCGAAGCTGCACTGGCTGTTTCACTTCAACAGGATGATTTATTGTTGTATCGCTTAAATATTTCCAAAATTTCTCCAGTCAGAAATTTACGTACAACTAATACCATTCTTCGTGTCATGGTCGATGCGCTACAAAAATGCTTTTTTAAACATATTATTTCTAAAGCATTTGAAATGTCAGCACGTGACATATTTGTGTGTATCGTCGGTTGTGAAAATACGTTTTACATCTGCTTTGCTGCAAGGCCTAGAAATGGTGTTTTTGCATTGCCGTCGGAAGCATCTTGCAAGAGGTCCAGTAATTATAGTAAAGGTCTAACCATTATAGTGTTAGCCAAAGGGGGGGGGGGGGGCTTAGAANNGGGGGGGGGGGGGCTTAGAAAATGCGGTTGTCAACCCATATCCTCGGATCCTCCATGAATAAGTAAAGTGCAAGAAACACGAATACATATATTATTAATAGAAACAATGACTATTTATGCTTATTACACAAAGTGCAGTTATGGTGAAATATTAATAATAATATGCAAATACTGTAATTAAAATGTGCTATGTAGTATATTTAGAAATACAGTAGGCCTACAAATTAACGAATACGGTTTCGAATAATATACAGCTGGTGCACTTTTAATTTCCCAAATTCGCAATAATAATTATTTATGACGCTCTATTATGAATTGTACTGAGCACCACTATCATTGAACAACCTGAACAGCCAGTAGTTACGCCATTGGGCCTACATCCAAGATGCCAGTTGGCAGTGCTAGTTGTTATCCCTCCCCTCCCACTAAAGGGGTAGGCACTACATCTAACGTTGGAATATTAAATTCATTCATTCACTGTTTACCTTCCAAAACCCACTATAAAGAAATGTCAATATGCCCCCTACTTTGGTTTGGCAAACAAAACTATCAAACAAATTTACACCGTTGGTCGAGAAATGAAATAAAATTTTAATGGATTGTTTTCTAAATTCCTGAAACCCGCAGTCAGGTTTTGGGACGGGGTCGTGTGGTTCAGAAACAGACGACAAATTCTTGCCTTTAACTATTTTTTTTTTGTATCACGTACTGGACGCGGAAGGATAGACCAATTGAAGGGAAATCAGCACCTTATGTGGGAAAAAAAACTAAATATTAAAAACATTTGTCACAATAGAGCCACCACCATTGTATATTAGTTCCCATCCTACAAATAATTGAACATAATTCATACTTACGACCAAGTACTAATGAGTCTTAAATTGCCATTATCTTCCAGAGACACTGGAGACGATCTTCCATGCGAATCTGTGAACGTCATTGTTCGGTGGTGTCGTACCTTTAAGTTAAAGTAGCAAACGTCGTCCAGACATACATCGGAAGACACAGCGGCATCGTGGGGTACCAAAACAAGGAGACCCAGTAGTCCGGTCATCATTTTACAGGTCAATTTACAGCTTTCCATTCTGGGGTCCTGGGTCCAAGAGGCTGAATTGTTGGATTATGACTGGTTTTAATCAATCAATGTTTCGACCGATCTCAGATAGCAGTTAATAAGCATGCACTATGTAGCAAACGTGACGTTATAAACACCAATCATCTATTGAGGCCCATACTGACAGCCTTGGGAATACAATGGCAGCAGATACTATCAGGTAACTTACCTTGTTCTAAGTATCAACACAATACATTATGGAGAACAATATAAAAATAGAACATATCACGACTGATGATTAAACACAATACCCACTGTCAGACCTACTAAGGATCGCGCATTCGGCGTGCGACTCACACGTATTCAGAGTCTGTCCAAAATCTCACGCATAAATGCATTGAATTGCCTATATTCATGCTGTAGCCACAATAAACGTTTGAGCAATACGTGTTTGAGGAACCACACTTTGCACCGACCTTAACTGACAATCAAACTCAATATCAAAAGAGAGATATCCGCATTGGTAATTAGTTTTAAGTTGTCAATAAATCTATGGTATGGTATAGTATAGCTGACCTTGCATGGGCAATAATTTACAGAAGCTAATGATTATAATCGATCCAATTAAAGAGCAATTACTAGAGATAGGCCTAATGTCCCAAATGATGGTTAGAAATCAGGAAAATTGGTAAAGGGTAGAAACACCTTCTTCATTTAGGGCAGGCCTAGGCCTACTTAAAATAGGATTGCTTTTGTGAATATCAGTCTCTGTTTTAACTGTCCGCCCAAAACATCTTGGACCAAAATTCAATTCTGACCAACTCCTGTTTTATATTGTTTCTCATCTATCTCATATACCATGGTATCTCATGTTTATATTTAATCAGTAAAAAAAATGTCTGTTAGTTTCTTTAGTCTATAATACTGTCTCTTATACACATCTAGATGTGTATAAGAGACAGATGATAGCGTGGTTCAACAGTAGCTTTGATTAGTTGAACCTCGCTTTTTTATTTATTTATATCCGCTCTGGTCTACCATTGAGCACTCTGCTGGTAATACTTGCGATAGGTTCCATAGTTAATTTCCGTGATATTATTTACATATATACATATATACATGTACATATATATATAAATATATACATATATATATACATATACATATATATATATATATACATACATATACATATACATATACCGGTACACCGTATATATGTATGTACCATTCATATTATACTTTACATTTTATCATAATTATTGTTACAATACAATACAATATACTTTATTCGCAACTAAAAACAATTGAATTGCACATATATAAGAAATTTGAAATCAAAAAGAGAAGGTAAAAAAAATTACACAAAACAGCAAAAAGAGATTATTATCAGAATTATTAGTTATAATTATTATCAAAGTAATAATAATAATAATAACAACAACAATATTATGATTATTATTATGATTATTATTACTATCATTATTATTACTATTATTATACTAGTTATTGTGAAAATTCGTGTATTGTGTTCAAAGTCTACCAAGTCGTTGACGTCTCATCGTCTTTTTCATTGAATTATGTATCTAAGGAACACACGTGGATTACATCATGCTCTCTCTCTCTCTCTCTCTCTCTCTCTCTCTCTCTCTCTATATATATATATATATATATATATATATATTAAAACAGAATATGGCATTTTCTGGTTTAGTTCTATCTATACCTCAGTCGTTACGGTCGGTGGTTTTAATTTGACCATGTCATGTCAGTTCCGATCGAACGAGTCGACTAGTATTATTATGATAATCACGAATTGTTTGTTTTGGCGCTAACGACTGTGTAACGGTGGTTCTTTTTACACTTCGATTTTTGTATCGGTAGGAGCAGTGGAGCTAAAAAAGTCACCAGAGCTAAACATAAAAAGCGACAATGGCAGGATTTGATTGTGATGTTTCAATAAATGGTGGTATGTCTCTATCCGACAACCAAAGGCGTCGCTTCGAAGTAATTCGAGGCATCGTTACCAATGTTGGTCTCTTTATACTCTTTGTAATTTACCTGTGCATAGGTGCGTCAATATTTGCTGCGATCGAGGGGCGGGAGCCAGGTGATGTTAAACCAGTGGATGTTAATCGAACGAACGAAATGACACGAGAGATGTTTCTTAACAAGATGCTGGAGCTTGCTAGCGATCCTATGGCAAACAAGACGGATTATCAACGGGCGTTGGCCACCTACGAAGATAGTGGGGACGTGTATGAGGAATATTATGCATACTGGCATCAATGGTCTTATGGAATGAGTTTGTTTTACTGCCTCAAGTTGCTCACAACAATAGGCAAGAACGCAAGTATCAGATTGTAGCAGACACGTGATCATTACCCTCATCATTACCACCATCTTCAAATCATTATCCTGCTCCTCCTATCATTAACACACCACCTATATATATTTGTATACACGGTAATCTAGGTAATATTATATTTTATTGATTTTTATTCTATTACAATACAAATATCATTGTATGACATTAAAAAAATTGTCTTTTTCAGGATACGGTAATATTACGCCAGTGACGACTGCAGGCAAATTACTGAGCATTGTTTACGCTTTCTTCGGCATTATTCTGCTGTTGACCTTCCTTGCTAGCATTGGATCGCTCCTTGCTCAGAAAGTAAACTCTACTTACAAACGACTTCGAGCTAAGATGACAAAGCGATCAAACCCGGGATACAGAAGAGAGGATTTTGACACCAGCCCAGAAGAAGGTGGTACCACGGTTGATATCAGATTCCAAGAGGAGAATGCTGATGATAACCAACAGAGCGCCGTTAATATTACGCCAGTGACGACTGCAGGCAAATTACTGAGCATCGTTTACGCTTTCTTCGGCATTATTCTGCTGTTGACCTTCCTTGCTAGCATTGGATCGCTCCTTGCTCAGAAAGTAAACTCTACTTACAAACGACTTCGAGCTAAGATGACAAAGCGATCAAACCCGGGATACAGAAGAGAGGATTTTGACACCAGCCCAGAAGAAGGTGGTACCACGGTTGATATCAGATTCCAAGAGGAGAATGCTGATGATAACCAACAGAGCGCCGTTACGGACCCGATCCCATTTTGGGCGATAACTGTTTTTTCTCTTGTTTTTCTTCTTATTTTCTCTAGCTTTGTCTTTGCTCTGGAGGATTGGACTTTCGTTGATTCTGTTTACTATTCGTTTATGTCTCTTGCAACCGTTGGATTCGGCGATATAATTCCGGAAAAAAACTTGGGTGGATGTTCTATCTTAATCGTTATTGGCTTGATTGTGGTTTCAATGATCATAGCGCTTGGCCAGGCTAGTATTCTGCGGGTACTCACTGCAATTCAAAGGTGCACAGATAAAGTAGTATTAAAATGTACATCATAAAATTGTCGTGAAGATTGTGCTAAATTGCGTCATGCTTTCATACATCTACGGTTTATGGACAATGCCCTTGGTACAGAACTGGGTAACATTAAATGTCGGTGTACACTAGGCCAAACTAGAAAAAATATACAGTACTTTAAAATAAATTTATTACAGAGTTCTATTACTGTATCAGGCCATAATCATGATTCCTTGGTGTCGGGTCGATGTTTATTAAGAGAAGCAGAATATTAGGGCACATAGGCGCCCTTGTAATGGGTCGTTACGTAATAGTGAACATTTGATGTACTCATTTTACAATTTTATACATGTTTTTATATTACTTTTTTTTTTACTTTTAGGTTATTTTTTTTTGTCAATGTGTATATATTTCTAGTTCCCTTTCATTCATATTATCTGTTCTATTATTCCTGAGTTTTTATACTTTTTAAATAAGCCAAGAGCTGTTAGTTGATTTTGAACTCTTTTTATTGCAAAAATCATTAGATGATTAGCAGCAAAATAAGATTCTATGTCAAGAATATAACAGCATTATTTATACATCTTTAGCCTTATCCAGACTATCAAATTTTATTTGACCAAAACATGTGACATGCTTAAATATGGTCATGACGACATCATGTCATGACCATATATAGGCATATCATGACCATATATAGGCACATTATGACCATATATAGGCACATTATGACCATATATAGGCATATCATGACCATATATAGGCACATTATGACCCTATATAGGCACATCATGACCATATATAGGCACATTATGACTACATATGACAACGTTTTATAAACTGAAGTTTGTTTAGCTCATTACAGGCCGAGGCAGTCAGCTGGAATTTCAATGCAAATATGACAGAGATACAGATTTCTTTATTTTCCAAATCTTTGGAAATTAAAATGCTAGTGACTGCCAATACAAAAGTTAAATTATCTTGGATACTTCAAATTGTGACCTCGTATCCCAGCTGGGTAGACCGAGTACTTGCAACAGTCTGTGTGCACATTCAATCCAATTGCCACAGATTTTATCTATAGTGCAAATATTTACAACAAACATAATTATGCAAAATTTATAATCATTCTATTAACATTTAAAACACAGTAATACGAATGGTTTATATAATAAAAAATTTAACATCTTCATAATTATGAAGTCTATACATATTTGTGTATTAAACTACCTTTGAAATGTTGTGAAAAAATTTTTTTTAATAAGAATTCAGCTACAAAAAGTTGAATCATTTCTATAAAATTAAACATATTTTTTCATTCACTTTTGTATATAATATTAGACACTAAGAAACTAAATTTTATGTTCACTATTCTTTTTGTTTATTACAATAAGGATTTTAAATATAAAAACAAAGGGGAAGTAATGATGTTTTATAATACAATTTTTGTTAACCCCCTCCTCCACATGTTCTGGATTAGTCACTGTTTAATCAATGACCAAGCAATACTGTACCTGTAAAAACAAGTTGATCTGGTGGTAAACAAAATAAATGGAACTAATTCAAGGAACGTAGCATAAACTAAGCATTAGTGCACATTGAAACTGTCAGTACAAAGATACAATGCACAATACAGTTGAACTTGCCTAAGTCAAATCCAAAATGGCATTGAAAAACCGTTTGACTTACAGATTTTTGATTATGAAAAACACAACATTGTGGCATGAAAATAAGATTGACTTAAGCAAGTTTAACTGTCTGTAAGTTAAATTTACTCTTTGGTTACCAAATGTTCATTATCATATCTTCAAACTAAACATCTTGCAATAACCCATTTGAATATATGCAATTACAATACATCATTTTACTACACATCACCTGTTGGAATCTCCACACTAAACTTCATCGTCTTCGACATATAAATTCATCACCGTCTCTTACATTTAAGGAATATAACACCTTCTTGCTGAAAGTTAGCATATTGGCTCCTTGGTTCAACTGCACATCACGATACAGTAGTTGAAACTGTTTCAATGGTAAACCAACAAATTCTTTTAAAGATTTTTTCAATTCCAGGATGGTCATTTTTGTATTTATCTTCATCAATTTCTGCTTCTCCTCAAAGATGACCTAAAAAACAAAAAGGACTTTCTTCTTACAAAAGCAGAAGTGCTCTTTGTATCATTCTATCAGAAGTACTAAAGTGTGGTGACTGGTTTAGGGTGCCTACTTTGCAATCCTAAGATTGTAGGTTCAATCATGCAAATTTAATGATCTTTCACAAGTATCAACAAGTCCCATTTACATACTGATACATACCAAACATGTGACCACATATATTGGCGTCAAGTCAACATCTACTAGAGGCACAATGTCTTTGTGAACTTCTTCTAATTCAACACATCTGAAAAGAAATCCGTTGGAGGGCTAAATGTTATGTAATGTAGGTTATCAATGGCACTTTCAGTCACCCGACACCACAATCATCGTCGTCAACGTCAAAATTGTTAAATCATATGGCACTGGGGTTAGTGTTAATCTATGTCCACACTCTCAAATTTCATGCGAGGAACATGATATGCCCATATTTGGGTGTAGTATGACATCGTCATGTCCATATATGGGCACATCACACAGATTTATCAAATAACATTTGATACTGGCATGGACAAAGCTTCAGATGCTGGTGTTTCAGATTTCTTGCTGGGCATTTCCCTGTCAATGAAAAAGCAAATTTATCTGCATTGTTTCTACCCATCTTTTTCCTGATACATCTTTTAATTGATTTAGTTATCCATGGTTTTTTCCTTTTAATTTTATTTACTGAATGCTTCACAAATGGGGCATGCAAATTACAAATGTCATTGAATAAGGTGTAACATTTACTGTATGAGTCATCAACATCTTTGACCATATAAATTTAATCCAAAGAAAATGTTGATAAATTTATAAAATTGCTATAATCAAAAACAAAAACACTATTTACATTAGTTGAAACGTTATTTTCAAAAATAGAGAAATCTGGAAAATGATCAGAAATGTCATAAATAATTGAGCCAGCATATATATTTGTATTTAAAACAATTGAGTAGATATAATCAATTAAATACACATACCTTCGATGACTCTAGATTGTGTGTTATTAAGTTTTTGTATATTTAAACAGTTAAGATTACTAACAAAAGACTATATTATTAGAAGGACGAAATAAATCAAAATTAAAATCCCCAAAAACAATATAATTATTTTTATCAATTTTTATAGCATTTAGAACATCTAGAAACTACTTTGAAACTCAGTTATTTGTACTAATAATAAACTTGTTAAATCCTTATCATGCATTTCTAGCCAAACTGATTCTGAATGGGAGCTAAGTATGTGCTTCATAGGAACTTAATCCAATAAATGGGGTAATAATGTGAAACGCTTAGAGACTTGGTATAACAACAAACGTATATCTTATTATTATTTTCATCTTCATCATCACTACCACAGACTTGCCAAGGTTATGGACACTTACTAAGGGAAGTCCACACTACTTCAGACACACCATGGTTGCGGCTGAGGGGAGAACAATTTAAAGAATATTATAGCATGGCTCCTCTAGATATCAAATGGATATTTAAAAACACTAGATGCAGGGGACATGTTGAAATTAATTAAAATTACCATTCTATAGGCAATTCATTTCTTCATTTATTTTGTAGAATACAGAGTATACTCTACTCTTGTAATACGTGAAATTATGCAGTAAAGAAATGCATGACTTTTAACTACATTTTACAAATGTGGGCGAGACCACCGGAAACATTTTTTTACGTGAATTTCACGCAAAATGTAGGACACTTGGCAGGTCTGCTACCATCACTAGCTATATCTAACAGTATGAAAATTAAGTACAGATTAGAACCCAGCCACATTACCTAGATGGTTTCTTATCCTTTGATAAGAAGAACCGTAAGAATGCCCTCTCTGCTGCTACCCGCTCACTATCCCCAACCGAACTGCCGTTCAATATTGTAATCATCGGTAATCTAGCAATCGTGTGCTGTCTCCTGTGAGTATCTGACAGACCGTCCAATAGAGGAATACCCTTAAGCCTTATTTCACGTAACTTTGGAAGTTTCCTCAATTTTTCCAGCTCATTCCATTCGCTTAAACCTGTCTTACTGATGTTTAAACATTTCAGTTCTGGGAAAAACATCTCTATATTGTCACCAAAATCACAGAAAGGGTTTTCAACTATGATAAGGCTTTGCAAGCTGGGGAACATTCGCCCCAGAGCCTGTATATCTTGTGAGGTTGCCAGTCCACTATTACTGCAGTGCAAGCATTTTACCGAAGGCCACTGGTGGGGATCCACAGTAGCAATGTTGCTCTTGTCAATGAGGCTGAAATGAAGTTCTTCTAAGCTGAAAACATAGTAAAAAATATATATTAAAAAATAAAATTCCTGTTCTAGTTTAATAACTTGCAATGGTCTTACATTAGTTCAACAATAATTCCAATTGTTGATGCTCCCTATTTGACAAAATATGTGTTATGATGATATTAGTTATGACAAAGCATTGCAGGATTTAACCAAACTTTTACTGAGAACTTTCAAAACACACTTTCTTGTGTCTATACTTTGACATGTATATTATATGGAAGAAAACAGAGATGGATCTTAGTTTGCAGACACCTACCAAGGAAGGCAATGTTGGAGTTGACTTATCTCTTCCCAGGACACATTTATATGATTCAAAATTAGAGTTTTAAGCTTTTCTGCAACAATTTTTCCAGGATCTGGAAAATGGCCCAACAAAGGATTGTGACTCAGGTTCAGAAGCTCAAGACATGGTAAATTCTTGAAAAGTAGCAAGACCTTAAAAAAAATTTAAAAAACACTACGTAAACATTAACAGTCTTTTTTAGATATTAATTTAGATATTAATAAAAAAATCATGGACGTAGAAATTTTCATATCCATCCTTTCCTTTTTGCTAGGACTGGATGTCTCGTACTAAAATTCATATCATAGGGGATCCCGGACATTTCTTCCAGGGATCGTGGGTGGAGATTTTAGCCATTTTAACCTTTACATGATTTCATTTTTTTAAAACTATATTTATAGAAGGCGACCCTTCCAGCCTATCCTAGAATGTTGGCTGATATGTGACATATTGGTGGGTGAGATATCTACCGTAGATCTTAAAAAATGAAAAGTTCATATACATACAGCATTCCAACTTGCATATTCATTTCCAGCTAAATCGAGAGTCTTCAAGTTCCGGCAAAGCTCCTTCAATTCCTCATCCTGGCCTATGGAATCAAGGCCATAGTGTTGCAAAGTCACACTTTCAGGAATACAATTCAAATATTCTTCAAATTAACAAACAAACAACATAAATTCATATTTAAAATTATTCTTTTTAAGAGTTACAACAAATTAATATTTAAAATTAGTGTTTTCTTTAGATATACAAATTAGCATACATGTTGAAAATAAATATTGTTCTTTATGTCATTTTTATTTATAAACACATGTTGAATTGGTATAAGGGCACATAAAAAAAATTGTTAGATTATCACTCCCACTGGGTCAAAAATTTGGGAAATATTGATGCGGGAATGCAAACAAATTGTTTTTTTTTGCCGCATCATTTATTTCAACAGCATAAAAAAAGCAATGCACTTTGTGACTGGAAATACATTTTCTTAAAAAAAAAAAAAAAAAACAATAAAATTTAACCAGTTTTTATACAATACTGTATTTACAATATTCTTGCCAAAAAAAAAACAGTCCCTCCCTTATCAATAAAAAAAAAGCAATATTCTATTGTTCCGATTAAAAAAAAATGAACCGTTCGCCCTCATCATTTTTTTTTTTTTTAAAGAGTGATTTTTCCTATTTGCCTTAATGTGCATCAAGTCCTGCTACAATAAATTGTATACAATATATTACATCATAATTCAAAACTACCTTTGGCTTTATCAGTGTTATATTTTCCAAACTTAACAAAACTGGACTGAAAATCTTCTTCATTGATCCTGTACTTCTCATTTATGGCTGCCACCAAAGACATTGTTGGCTGTTACACCTTGAATAAATTAGACAAAAATTTTATAATGAACTGGGAAATATATTTTTAACAAACAATTGTATCACACCTTGATAATATCTAAGATTAATAAATCCACAAGGATATATAGCTGCTTTTAATTAAGCATTGATAATACTAATTATAGTCTTCTTATTGTAGGCCTAAGCGCGACAAAAAACAAAGTTGAATCATGGCTATATATAGAATGTGACACAATCATGATTGAGGTGCCTGTGTAAACTTCCACGTCAATTGGTCAACATACAGAAATTGCAGAAAAACAAAGTTGTTTGGATGAAATATAGGGCATAGGCCCTAGTACTGTAGGCTGTGTAAGACCCACGGGTTCCCCTCCCCTCACATAGTCATATCATACTCATAGTCAAAAAAGACAAATAGGCCTAGGCTTTCAACTGTTATTTACACACAATTCTTGCAAGCTGTCAGGATTACAAAAGTGCCTCTCCAGACCGTGAACCCATTGACAACGTTACTGCACTGAAGGCTAGGCTAGTACTCGCAGTAGGAGGTCCTAACTACCTAGCCCTAGCCTTGTGCCGTTCGGCCTAAAACGTTCATACTCTTAAAATAATACCATATTATTAAAGGTATTACTAAATGGATTACCATATTAATAAAGGTAAACTATTACTAAATGGATTACCTGAATTCTTAAATGTTCAGACAACGTTGTATGTCGATTTTGGAGCTCCAACAACAGCTTTTTGTGTAAAGGACACCCCTGGTCCATCCGTCCATACAAAAAGTAAACATCATTACATCATTTCTATTTTCGCTTCGATGAGAAAGAGGGCGCCACTCATGATGACCGTTAATGCTTGTGCACCACGTATCTACGTGGTGTACTACAAGTATTAATATTATTATATTATTACTTCGCCATGCAAACCTTCAAACCATAATCTGAACATTGTCAGATAGTTTTCCATGTGATAAAAATATTCTAAAAGTATTCTTACTCAACCAATGTCACTTCGTTTAAAGTTAATTTGAGGCACAGACTTAAAAACTTAATGGCTTATTGTGTCCTCACACAACTTTATTATATGACTATTATAATTATTTTATATTTTTTATTATTATTATATTCAACTACTGCTATTTATTGTAATTGCTTAATTATCAATTAGCTATTATATCTTACATTATTATATTACATTGCCCATGTTATTCATTTACTTTTCAGAAAAATTTCATAATGTATTTTTGCATTCTGTGAAATAAAATGAACTTGAGGCACACATCTTCGTAACTGTGGGTTTCTAAATTTTGCGACTTGAGAGATATAAAGTCCTTGATAATAACATGTATTCACAAAAAGCATAATTATTAGTAAACAAAGACTCAAGTCTACATCCGACATGTGTAAAAATCTCGTAACCTGTCTTCAACCGGTTATAGGAAAGCATATTGAAATATGGGTTAAAAGTACAAGATTTGACAATTAAACGTTTTATTCAGTTCCTCCGTTGTTGTGTATTATTCAATTTTCTTTGATATAAATCTAATTAAAGAATATGGGCTTAAGTTTGGCCCATAACAATGTAAATAGTTTCTCATTCAAAAAAGACTCGCTTATGATCCTATGAATCTATTGAGAACTTGGTAGTGATTTGGTTGCCCTTTTGTAAAACTTGCTGCATCTTAACAGGTTGTATTTATATGTTTTTACTGCCAGTGTCAATCATGTCTAATGAATAAAGTAGAATGAATACTGTAAACCAAACTCTATTCACAACGACAACACTCTGTGTAACTGTGCTCAGTTGAATAACTGTTTATTGTACTCATCGATACCGTACCTATATTATATGATACAGTTAGTACTATACATAATGCAGACATAAGCCATGAGAGAAATTAGTACATTAGTATTAGTAAATTTACAGTATTGTATAATTATCGTACATAACATGATGTGAATACACAGTAGAGTTGAAGATAATTATGGTAGGCTAATGCAGCATGTACTGTACACTATATAAAATGCACTCTACTGTATAACATTCAAATTTCAATCATAGTGATATGCAGCCTTCAAGGAGCAATAATTTCAAGTAGTAGTAATTGGTAGCATGTTAAATACATCCTAGTATGTCTGATACAGATAAAAAATTACTGCAGAGAGTGGATGGGCCCTTGAGACACTTTGCTATGCCACTGAAGATGTACCACCTATTCAGTCTACATCCAACGTTCACCCAGTCTTCAAACAGGGTGGCTTACAGGGAGCATGAAGGTAATGGTTGGGGGGGGGGGGGGCTTTATGATTTAGTTGAGGGGTGCTAGCTTGCAAAATAAGGTAATTTTAGGTGATTTTTAACTACTTGAGTGTGATTTTTGGGGGAGACTGGGGGCTGGGGCGTGTACAGTTTGGAGGGCGTGCACAATTTGGAGGGCGTGCACCAGACTAGATACGCCCTTGCATCTAGTTTCTGATAACATTTACATCCTATAAATTAGCATTCATTATCTTTTAGTGTTTTTTTTATAATTTCTTCTTAAATCATCATCACTCTCATAATCATCCTCATTATCAGATGTATCATCATGGCTATCAATATCATCTCTAAAATCATCACCATCTTTATCTTCCATTATTTCCTCACAAAATAATCTAAACTCATCCACTGAAGCCACTCGGAACATTTTACAAAATCTGTTGGGAGACGTATCAATGATTAAGTGTAGTTTGGGGTTGACGATCGAGGTCCGCGACCGTACATTTGGAGTCTCATAGAGTCCAAGCCGTAACAAAAATAAGTGCCGCTCTTTGATGTGCTGCAGACTGTGTCTGAACAACTTTGCTTGCACCATCTGTTTTTGATCTGTTAGACCCATTCGAAAGTACACGTATTGGAAGATGTACTCTGAAAGAGAACAAAATATTAAGAAAAAATTGAAGTGAGTTATATAACTCAATAATAATATAACTAAAAACGACAGGTGTCTGAAAATTTTCATTGAGGTTTATTTTCTTCTCTTTTTAAGCAATTTGAAAATTTGATGGACACAGTATTAGAAATAGAAGAGATCAAACTAAGAATCATACATCAGCAGTTCAAGGTTCAAGTGTAGGAGCATGTGGTGTAGTGCGTAAGGCATTTGACTTTCAATCAGAACCAGTTTTCTGGATGTTTGCGCTATATAAATCCTATAAAAAGAAATTTAAATCAAAGTAACCATCAGTAAACCTACCAATCTCATCTATACTGGCTTCAAAAATGTTTGGGCAGTCATTAATGATAACAACTATTTGTTCTCTTGTAAATAGACACTTTTTTAACAAATTTAAAATAGCCAACAATTTGCCTTTCTTCAACGTCAAAACTTTTGGACACTTTGCAACCAATTTCTGTACATTTCCTTCAAGTATTCCAACACTACGTAGGAAGCGCACTCTATCAGAGAGTGTTGTTAGTTCGCTCACCCAAATATCACGGTTGTTTAGCACGTGGAGGAGACGATTACCTCCCATTCCAAGGTCATTCAGGAACATCACAACGTTATGTATTTTTTCCCAGTTACAGTTTACAATTCTTGGATTAGCAGAGATAAGTCCAAATATATTTCGAGTACCACACCTAAGACTAATTTGCAGATTAATCAGTTTTTCCAAATTTTCTAAAGCTTTTTCACCGACTGAGTTTTGTGGGGCAACTTTAGCCTGAATTTCATCCCAAAGTTGGGTTAGAAACTTCTTAGCGTCATCATCATTTTTTATGTCAAGAATCAAACCAGATGGGTTGTAGTGCGTTGACATGTATTGACCTTTGCCCTCACAGCAATGAATTCTTTTTTGGTAGTTGTATTGCTCCACATTCAATAGATTTGGAACTTGTATCAAACGAGTGACAGTATTTTTGGATGTGCATAGAATATAGTAGTACCTCCTTTTTACACATGATGCAAGGACAGGTATGTAAGTTATTTGTAGATTTTGCAATAAGCATTTAGTTGTAAACCATGTTGGGGTAAAACTACAATGACTCAGCGGTTGGCTTAAATGCAGAGAAATTTTAACCACTCTTGACATCATGACGACAACTGAAAAGAAAAAAAATTAGATAATATTTAATGTAATTTGAAGCTGGCGGTTCATTAGATAATATACTCATTCTACCTCAATTTTATGGTACTGCCACTAGGCCTACTGTAGGTCTACCAACCGCTATTGCTATAATAAATGCCTGATACTGTTCCGACCCTAACCGTCCTTAGTCATACTATTGTATTCCAATGCACTACAGCATATATTTGTACAATATCCATATATATGTATCCAAGTATTGCACGTAATGATTTTTTTTAACCTTAAATTAAACCATTTCTTTTTATAGTGCTTTCCAAAAAAAATTTCTCAATTCATGAATATTTCTCAATAAAAGAACATAAAATGAAAACAAATTATGTGAATACTGTACTCAAGTTATGATAGCCAGCACGTATATCTGTGCATCTCCTTAGGCCTTGCTACAGAAATCCAACTAGGCTTCTAATGCCCTATACTCTAGGCCTAGGCTAGTTAGGCTCCCCCTGGACCTGGCTGGTCAACTGCAACACCAACGAACCTACCTAGGCCTAACCTCTCTGTTAAGTCTTTAAACAATAATCCAATATGCTCTAGGCTACGCCAAACACGTCTCTAGATTTAGGCATTAACCTTCTGGTGTCTAAAATTAAATATCAACAAGGAAATTAAAAATAACCTTGCGAAAACGCTTCGTCGGGAACATACCGTGTATACCTATGCCTACGTCGATCCATGTGATATTTTTGAGCATGCACAGTCACCGGTGCTGCGTTGGACGGTCAGCGTTGACGTAAGTTGACGCGAATTAGCAAAAAAGTTGACGCTGTGTGTGCCTGGATTCTTTTTATAAAACAACATATTACAGTAGAGTTATTATGGCCTCACTTTCTCTATTTGGAGTCAATTAGATTTCATTTTATATTACAGTAATAAAATTCATAACAAAACCTTTCAATGGATTTTAAAAATTTATTTCTAACCTCTAGAAAAGTAATGAAATACTTAAAATATTTATATGATTCAAGTTAAAAGTACAGAAATTTGAAAAGTAAATTTTTGAAAAATGAAAATCTTCAGATATAAACTCTTTATAATACCCAAATGTTATACCTTTGAAAGTGCTACATGTGTGGAAAATATAATTACACTATAGTGATTTGAGGCAAGTCTAGACCCAGATGCTGCTCCAAAGGGGAGTCCAATGGACAAGCCTCCCATTGCTGCAAACTAAAATGTGCAATCACAATATTGATACTTAAAAATACAGACAAACCCCAATAATATATTAGTTCAACCCCGAGTTAAGTACATTAGTAACACTAATTTTCTCAAGTAAATTTTGAGAGAACTGATACTCAGACATTTCAGATTCTTATACATATTTTATTCTATTTAGTTAAATAAAAAAAATATGTTCAACTTTAGGCCTGTAATTGCCCCGACAACCAAATCCTTTTGTTTGCTAACATGATGAAACCTAAAGGTAAAACCTAACTACACAGCTTCTTACCCTAAAGTAGCCACCTAATACTACAAACATTTCAGCCCCTTATACTTACTTTGTAATGTTTAATAATTATTGAATAAATACACAAAATAAATTAAGAATTCTGAATGTAATTTTTTGATAGATAAAATTTATAAAATCTACACAGTACTGTGATTGGTGAAATATACATTAGACTAAATATAAGTAGGCCTGTAGGCCATGTCATTTTTGAATTGAATCTGTTGTATGGGCAACCATTTGAATGAAATCTGTTGTCCAGGTAACCAAATCAGTTTGCTTGCTTCCATGAAGGGTCATAGATTAATGGGTAAAACTGACCATTCAGCTTCTCACCCTGAAAAATAAGCAAATCAATCAATCAATCAATCAATCAGACAGTCAATTAATTATTATTATTATTAGTCAATATTTATTATGTTTTTGCCTTTTGCCTTTACTGTATATAACATTGCTTTAATTGAATTTTATGGTAGCTGACACGTATGTACAGGAAGATTACCCTTTGTTAGCTACCATCTCATATGATCTGATGGTTATTGTAGCAACCCAACTTATGAATATTCATAAGCATTTTAATTGGTAAACACAATTCTGTTGAAATGTGCAGTGACCGTTTCATGAAATTAATTGGGGAGCAGTTTCAGTCTAATTACTACATTGTTTACCAGTACTTTACAGAATGAAAATCCATTAACGTAGTTTTCACCTTAGGCACAGGATTTGTTTTTTGAAGCAAGGGGTCTTCCGAATCTGAAACAACGCCATCAGCAATGTAGTTGACGACACAGGCACGGCGAGGACACTCTGATCTAGAAAATATACAACAGAAGGAGACATATAATGGTATAACTTTTATCAGATAGAAGAAAACATTTGTGCAGGTAATAATAATAGTCTTTGTTTAATTGTAAATTTAATTGTGTTTCTAATTTATATTTGGTGGTAAAATAATAAAACGTACTTCACATAGAGCAGAGAGGCACAATAATACTGCAATAATGAATAATATTTAAATACAAATTATTTTTATTGCATAGAGAAGAAAAGTCACCATAGTGTAATTAGTGATGAACCCAGTCAGTGGGAGGTGGACAGTACAATGTGCAATTTCTTTTTGATTTCCTAGAAATGTTTTTACTAATTAACATTTGAAACACAATGTGGGCATCTCCTGTATGCCCCAACTTCATTTTCAAAATACTGATATGCCCTAGTAATTGGTTGATCATAACTCAATGCATATACCTGTTGCCATAGGAACCATGGACCATGAGTGGATGGTGAAAGCTGGCTTCGCCCTTTTTTAAGAGTGATGGTACTGGCTTAAATAGAGCTTTTTCCTCCTCTGTCAATACAGTCTATCAAAACAAAAATAAACATAAAAATACATACACATGTATATGTACATGAACATGTATATATATATATATATATATATATATATATACAGAAAATATTTAATGAACATTGTTCGACAATTGATGGAACATAATTCATGTGATAATGCTGAAATGACAAAAACAATCATATTACTTTTAAAAATAAGAATACTGTAATTATAATAGAAAAATACAAAAGACCAGAAATATTACAATTAGCTATGTTTAATTAATTTGCATGATACACATTTCTAAAATTGAGTGAATTATAATCATTTACTATGAGATAGCTTCACAATCCAAAGCATGGTGTACACAAGATAGCCAGACCCGAAAGCGTCAGTCATTAATATTCAATCACCATTAATATTTATATTTGAATGGCGCTACAAGAACAGACTACTAAATATGTGCCTTAATAGCAATTGATTAAGTGGCAAATGTCCTACTTTTTTGAGGGGTGTTCTCTTTTGGGAGAGATTAGGCAATTAGTTGGTTTATCCAGCTATGCATTCACAAGTAGACTTAGCAATTGATTGTGTGGTTTGAGTTATTTATTTATTATCCTAATGAATTAATTAAAAATAATTAAAATAATATACCTGGATCGATTCCATGTCTTTAAAGTTGAGGTCTGTAATGGGAAGCGGCTCACCGTTTTTACGCCATCTTGAAATAGGATGGAAGAGAAAAGAGAAGTAGCTTCAGGGTAAGTAATTAATAGCAATAATATAATTCTGTAGAGTTAAGCTGGCCACTTGCTATGCCCAACGGTCGTCGGTCGACGCGATTCTATGGAGAACGCAACACCACAACGCGTGCGCAACAAATTGTTTTTAATGAAGACCTGTTTAGCCTGCCGCTGACAATCAGCGGTTGGCGGTCATGTTGTCTGTCACTCACAGGGGGTTGGAGATGGATTCATCAGCCGATGGTCGTACGAAGTTGTGAGTGCCTGGCTTAATAGATAATAATAATAATTGTGAACTATAGCGTGTTTATTCAAGGAATAAAATAAACACTTCAGAACATTAAATTTAGAAAATGACATTCTTGAAGGGAGTGGGGGAAGGGAGAATGGGGTTAAAAATGGTGTTGCTTCCTTTAGTTTTTTTTTTTATTTTGAAGAGTGTTTATTCACGAAAGAAATAAACACTCCAGGACATTTAATTTAGAAAATGATATTCTTGAAGGGTGTGGGTGCAGGGAGATGGTGTTACACTATATATAAAATCACTTTATTTTAATATTATATATTTATATTTTATATTGATTTGTGGCTTTTCATTGTTTATATATTGCATACTGTATGTTGTGTCTGTCAACTTTTTATTCATACCATTTATCATAAATCATAATCTAGTTAATTAGCTTCAGTAATTAACCAATTACAACAAGCTCTGGTTAACCTTGAGGCAAACACACACGTCAAAATAGTGGAAACAAAAGCATGATAGAGAATACTACATTTGACTATAAATCAAATTAAGTACAATATGTGCTAGGGGCAATATGCGGCACGAAGGACTAACTATAGCCATCTACGAATCTAATATTCTTGATGAGTCGCTGCATTTGTTACAGAATCTCACCTTGACTCTTCAATTGCCAAAATGCTGCTGTGAGTAACGTATTCTGCATTCAACACAAAGAAATTTGATCGTATTATTCATAATTACCTACAAAGCTCTCAGCAAAACTTTACAGCCATAAACTTCAGATCTTATTTAAATATATTTCAATTTCAATTCATTTCAAATTTGTAGTAATGTTTACATAAAAACATCAAGACCGCCACACTACAGACACAAACAAAATCAAATCAAAACATTTTGCATTACATTCAGGTACTGAATGCTTTCATTTCCTTAGACTGAAAAAATAATGGTAAAAATAAAAACATTCAGTTTTTACAAAATAAAAAGGAATATTGACTAACTTGTGAGACCCTGGCACGTAGTGTAATGCCCCATTATCCAACGTCTGCTCATCTAAGGCTATGTGCACTGTCAGATGCATCATGGGCTTGGTTCTTGTCCAATAAGAATAATCTTGATGCCTGAATATCAACAAAAAGTAGGCCTATAAGTAGGATTTCGTAGGGGGAATACTAATGAAAGGCAGGGGTCAGTTTAGTAGCAAAAGGATATCATCATCATTTTGATAGTATTTTGTGCAAGTGGGAGTGGGGGGTTTGGTTTATATGAGAGGGAGACTTTGCTCAAAAAAGGGGTTTGTCCAAACCATAGAAAACTCCCTGGTAACAAGCCTGAAAAGCAACTTCCTCTATCAATATGTATTGTATTTTTTGTTGGCTCAAAGATACAGTTTCTTCATTGAGCTGATACATTCTAGTGCTTGCAGTGTAACCACCTCTTCCGTTTGCTTTGTCTATTCACAATCAGTTAGTTTATTCATACAAAAGGTCAAGAAACCATTCAAAGCGCTATGGGAGAAGAAAAAACTTATTACCATTAATTACACACACTCTGCAACTGCAAATAAACTGAAGCTCTGTCTAGACTATCAAATTACATTTGACAATAATTTAATTAAATATACTATTAAATTACCATGCCACTACACCTCCATGCCTGGGTGGTTTTGCAAACAGTTGATCGTGCCAAAGACGAACTGACTTGTCCTCTGCTGGATGCAGGAGTTTTGAGCTTGGTACCTTATATATAATTAAGGTATAAAAAGTATAAACATATAAAAAATATAATATAATAATATATAATAATAAACATAATATACTAGTAACATTTATGAAATAAAATAGTAAAATAATAAAATAAAATAAAACAAAATACAATAAAATATCATCTAATATACCAATCATACTTACTAACATATAATATAATATCAGGGAAAGATTCAAGTATGTGGGTGTGGGTGAGTGGAAACTAATTTACAATAAAGTCTGAAGATGACATTTCCAGCTATCTAGAAGTTCCATAGTATAAACTTTTCACCATAAACCTGACCCATAGATGAAACAAATTAGCTGATTGAAATGGAATATAATAAATTGATCTTCTGCTGTTATATATGTAACTGTGTCATTCATATTTGATGACTTTACATAGAATTAGCTACAGTGCTCTTGGCTATGATGAAATAAATTGGGGTTTTTTTAATGAAAAAAGTCGCATTAGGAAATCAAGACTTATGAACTACCAGTACATACAGCAATTTCAGGGAGGAAGACCAGATCATGGAAAAGCTGGTTAAATCTCCAATGCCCTAAGCAATGCATTAGCACGTTGTCGGGGTCACCGCTTTGGTTGCTATGGTGTTCATAAAGCAGTTCGTAGCCAGGAAATTCATTACTTTTCTCCTGAAATTAAAGTAAATAATGCCAATGACGATACCATACAGAGTATTTACTATGATTAATAAAGAAAATGAAACAAATAGAGGCCTTGTTTGCATGATGTGCTATAGCAGGTGTGCATAAAAATCGGTCGGAGGGCCAAAGTGATTTTTTTATTTAACACCGAAGGCCGCACCCAAATTTTGATGGTTCCAGTGTGCTTATGAAAACCTTCATACACTGCTTTTTTATCAATTTATTCTCAGTTTTAATATTACTTTTTACAGATGATCGGTGTCACAAATTATGCGTTTCCTAGCTAAAGATGGTTGCCGGGCCGCACACACAGGGTTTTTAATTCGTTTTCGCGGGCCACAAAAAAAATCACTGTCGGCCGCACTTTGCCCACCTGTGTGCTATAGAAAAACAGGTATATTAATATTTTATTATTTATTATTAATATTATTAATATTATTATAATAATTATTATTACCAAAAATAGTAATAATTATTATTATTATTATTATTATAATTATTATTATTATTATTATTATTATTTATTAATATTTATCATTATTATTATTATTTTTATTAATGAAAAAGGAATAAACAGAACCAATGCAAAAGTACTCAGTATAATCTGTTAAAACTAAAATGTGGCCTTCTCACAACCTGCAACTTATTTCTGCTGGTTCAAAATTAGATCAAATAATCCAATTAAATTTAAAGCTTTGTCGAAACTTTCCAAATTTCTTTGACAAAAAACTGATGTATGCCCACATATGTCATTGTGTGCCTCTATGTGGCATAATGTGATGTCATCATGACCCATATTTAGGCATGTCACGTGATCAGAATGAGCTTGTTATCCTTTAATTGGCTGTAACACTACTATACTATATGAGTCTTCAAGCAGAATACTGTACTACACAAACAGTAATCTCTACTCTTTTCTGAACATTGTGCTTTCTGAACATTGTGCTGTTTTCTTTAACATGTACATGGGACACATTGCAGGCAAAACCAACAGGTTAAATATCTCATCACAATTTGTATTTCGGACGTCAGGCTGCGAACAGAACTCCACGGTTCAGTCTAACTGACTGAGCTAAGCTCTTCTCACTGTTATAGTGATTTGAGATAATGAAAAATATACATGTATAATTTGTATCATCATGGTTACTTACCATTGCTTTCTATATTACATGATGGACACACAAGGGAAGCAGATATGAAATGAAAAAAAAATAAAACAACAAAATACAAATGAATGAAGTTAGCTGCAGTACTGTAATTATTAAATAATTGTAAATTTTACATTCTTATATTGTATTGTAGTTTTAAATTTGTTTAACCTTAACAAATTATAAAATCTTATATCTAACGGTTCTTGATAGTCTAGTAGTGTAGGTATTCACTACATCAATCTAATTCTATGACATGCAAGAACATAGTGATTCCTATTAGCTACTTGCTTACATTGGAACTGTATTAATTATATCATGGAGTATCAAATGATGGCTGCTGGATCATAAGGATGTTAGAGGAAAAGAACTAGCATATTTATCGAACTTGGTAAACAGTTCCAAAATTAAACTTGCCATTGGCAGAGGCTAAAGTCTCGTTTCATAAAAGTCATTACACTGTCGTGTAGTGTTTGCAGTGCAATCGTAGCGTAGAAGTCCCAGACGCAATCACGAAGGCTTCCCAATTCGACCCACCAATCAGCATCACTGAAAGCTGTCGGCGATAGGGTGTAACGATTGTATGGAAACGTAGCTTTATAGCCACTATGAAGGGGAAATCGTAGTGGATAAAAATGAGGGGGAAAGTCCTGTCCAGATTATCAAATTTTATGATAAAAAAACTGTTGTATGCCCAAATATAGTCATGATGTGCCTATATATGATCATGATGTCATCATGACCATATTTAGTCATGTCTCATGTTTTTGTCAACTATACTTACCACTAACTCCTGGTAGACTGTTAAGATGTTGTCACATTGGTCAGGGGTCAACACAGGAACATTTGTTATGTAACCGTTTTCCCAAAATTCTTTGACTCGCTCAGCTGGCAAATCAAAGTTACTCCAGCTTCTCGCATCCTAGAAATATAATAATTTTTTAGGAGGTATGAATAAAAGTACAGTTTGCAGAGCTGACTAAAAATGACTGAATTTGAATGAATTTAATAAAAATAATATGGAAAAAATGCAGTTAGTAAACATAAAATACATCAGTATGTATATGATGTATATCTAGTAAGGCCATTTAAAAAATATAAAGGTAAAAACATAAGGCATATTTGTCTTTTTAAGTCAAGATGTTAATGTTATGCTAGCAAATCCTACTTACGGTCTTGATGCATCTAGCTGGCTAAAAACGGAGCCATATGTAGGGCTAATATTCCAAATAATACCATATTATGGGCTTTCATGTTTATTAAAATTTTATTTCCCCGAATATAAAGTTGCGTTCATTCATACTAAAATTAGTAGCTTCACTTCAGTAGTAAATTTGTGTGTTACGAATGAACACGCACGTAAAACGAACATGATTTTAAAAAATCAAAAATTTGTATGTGTCATGCTTACAGTATAAGATGATACCCAGGGGCGGGTTGCTACTGTATATAACGGTCTTAACTGGTAGTCTTAACTCTTTGAATAAAGCCGGCTTTATCACTTATACGGTCATACTAAAGTCAATCCACTAAGACCATTGCTATAAAATGGTCTTCGCTTAGACGGCTTTGAGTATTGAAACGCAAACAAGCACCCCTGGTAACATAAAATTGAGGGTGCTGTTACACATACATCACGCTTGTTCGATTTATGTATCCGCAAACATATGTATTTAATTGAACATAAATAATAAGCGAGTAAAATGCGTCATAAAACAGGTAACTGGTAACAGAGTTACAGTTGAAGGCAAAACTACGCCTGTTATGAATATGAATAATAAAAACAATAATGACACTGCCTTGGGGCACACCACTATCAACCATAGACTAATTTGAAGAAATATCATTAACCACAACTCTCTGTTCTTGAACTAAAAATGCTTCCATCCACCTTAAAATTTGACCACTAATTCCACAACTTTTCAACTTCTTCAAGTCTCTGTTTGGCGTTTTGGGCTTTTGACACTGAACCCTGCAAAGAATGTGGTGTCACACAAGGTTGTGGGAGCGCGCTTCGATTGGGCTTGCTCTCTTTCTTCTCCTCTGGGTGATCCCTCTTCTCACGGAATGGAGGGGGTTGAGCGGCAACCGTCTCTGATTTACGTGATGGAATAGCATCTTCCCCCTGACTCGCTCGAAGATGGCTCGCAGGACACTCGATTCTATCCTTATTGCAATGAATTCGCCAATGAATTAGGGATGCCGGATGGTTCACATGATTAATGGTGAAAGTATTCAGCTCCTCATCGACCATCTCAGAACAGGTCATCTGCATTGCCCTGTATGTTTTGTGGGCGATGGCATACTTGACTTTCCCTGTTGATTCAGGTCATCAATTCATGCAGGGTGGCACCTTCACCCTCACACACAACCGGCAGCTGCTGCAAAAAAGATGTCACCGGGCCTAGTTACGGGTACTCGTCCAAAATGTTTCAAACATGACCGGGCGTGTTTCCTCATCACATGCATCCGCACATTGATCACCCTCTTTAGCGAGCAATTCGGCCAAACACATGGGTTCTCTGGAGGAAGCGATGTTCGGCTTGGCAGAACTGGGTGCTCTGCTACGGTAGCTGTTGGCGGTGACTCCACTGGGGGTGGGTTCCACTGGATTGTTCTCCACTGCAGGTTCCGTCGACGAATTTGCTGTCGACGATTCTACAGGAGGCAACGGCTCCAGTGGCGGCAGATCAGGTGAGTTACAAGGAAGTTGCTCTCCTCGGCTAAGCCCAGCTCCCTGCCATCTCATCGGAAGATGATGATGACGCTCGGGTCGACTTATCTTGTCCATCCATTCCTATGAGCGTAAGGAAATATACATTTAGTTAGAAATGGACGTAATATTAGTCAAGAAATTCGAAGTGGTAATTGACAAGTAGCTGTTATCTGGCCAGGGTTTCTACACTGGGCACACTTGTACAAACCAATGTCCAGGGCATCCGATGGCAAGATATTCACACATGATACCAGACATCGCAATAATCTCATTGAATCATAAAGGTGCCTGCCCTGGGTTGGTGACAACTGCAATACAGTGTTCCTAGGGCATCATCCGCTTTATCTGTAGGTTTTAAAGAGGAAGATGGTAAAACATAATTAATGAACCATTTGGGAAGTTGTCTTTCAACGCAAGGCTTCAACTTATCATGATTGAGGATCATCACTTTATTCCTGAATTATACCCTGAATAAACATGGAGTTATCGATTATGATTCCTGGACCCCTCCACGGAGGACAAAGTTTCTTGCATTTGACTTTGGGGGAGCTGTTGTCGAGTATGTACACTCTATCCCCATGTTAATAAGGCCATTTCAGAAGATGTAGATTTTCTTAATGTGTTTCTGAGTTTCCTTGAGGGTCTCTCTGGCTGTGTCATGGCCGTCCCGAATGGAACAGACTAATTCTGAGCTTCCTCCAACTGGCACTGCCCGAACATCAAAACCAGTGAAACCGTTGATCTGTTTATTGTGGCGCACAATGCACCAGCAAGTTGTGGAAGATGGACATCCCAATCTTGCTGTCTCTTACCGATGTTACATCTTACTGCATCCATCACTACAAAAATCTAAAAAATCACTAATCATAACTTTTTTTTTGCTGTGTAAATTTATTGACGTTGTTCGATTTTTTGTCTTAAAGGTCTAATCTCTAGGCCTAGTACCTGTAACACCATGATGAAAATGAATTATGACTGCTTTAGGCCTCCTTTGAGTATGCTTTAAAATTTAAGACTTAAGATGGCTAACTGGATTGACAGCTGCATAGCAATGGTCTATAATCATAGACCAGTAGTGACATCACAAATTATAGCCGGTTATGCGTTAAGACCGTCTAAAGATTGCTATAGCAATCCGCCCCTGTTTTTCGATCATAATTTGCTATTTTAAGCCTCGGTCTTATACGTAAGAATATATGGTGTCGCATGTTTTTTCAAATAAAATTTGATATTCTGGAGAGGGCTTTAGTTTCTGGGATATTTTTCGCCATGCATCTACGTTGCCACATAAGCTATGTATTTAAGTACTCCTAAGTTCTAAGATAGTTGAGAGTTAAACTTACTTCAACTGGTTTGAACAATCCTCCACTAGGGACACTGACTGTACTCCAGTCCTTGACACTAGCAGTCTGAAAAATAATAATAATCATTCATACACAAGGGCGGCTTCTTGTTATTTTAACCAGGGAGTTGTTATTTTAATAGTTGTTTATTTTTTATTTTATCTAAATAACAACTCCCTGTTTTAACTAATAGTAACAAAAGTATGGATGGCATGGATATCCTAAACTACTGTAAGTAGGCCTAGGACCTCAGGGTGACAGGCCTAGGATTAGCTTTTAGTAAGTAGTAGCAGGGAGTTGTTTAACCTGGTAGTAGTAGGCCTAACTAAATACTACTAAAATGGGTCTAGGCCTATCTATCTAACCATAGAATTGAAAACAAACGACCTTGGCCTAGACATAATTATAGCATAGACTCTTTGGGGTATATTACAGTATTTTAGAGGCGCTACAATCATTTTAAACATAGGCCCCTATTTAGTTCTAACTTACCTTCTCTTCCATTGCACCTAGCTTACGTACCTACACGTACACATAAAAAGTGTGATGAAGGTCACGGTCACGACATCACACATATATCAGCAGTTTGTTGTTGTTGTTGTACAGCGATCATGAGATTCTGCTCAGGTGGCCATTTCCAACCTAAGCCCCGCCCCTTGGATATTGGCGCTTAAGGTCTAGCCTCACCAAAAAAGCGTAAAAACATCATAACGCATTGGAATGGTCATGAAATAGCCTTTTGAATCATTTGCATGTAAACTCAGCAAGCCACACAGTGATCCTAAATCAATAATATTTGGAACTAAACTGTGTAGGCCTAGGCCTATCTTTCAAGAATTAACCCCACTCATTCTGCATTGGAGGAATTGATTAAAAAGTCTACAAGGTGCCAAACAGGGTACTCTTAAGCAATGATCTAAAATTAAACCATCATATCGCAGAGATAATTGGTAGATTATTTATGATCAAATTGTTGACACACATTAAACTAAGCAAGACATAGGGATAGGCCTATATTGGCAATTTATTTACTTGGGCTACGTTAGAACACTCATGGAGTAGGCCTATGCATCGGCAGCGTGGCGCGTGGCACGAACAGGACCGTATGATTGAACTAATGATACGACTCAGTACTACCAAAGAACTCTCATTGATTTCAACCCAAGTTCGAAAGCAGTGGCGTACTG